GCAAACACAACTGGGGGGGCACCACCTTTTGGAGCACTGATAGATTGAGCCGTTGGTGCAAAGTGGATGTCATGGACAAATAGTGGGGATAGACCTCTGGTAACCAAACGCGGCACTTGAACATACTGGTGTTCAACAATGTCCTTTTGGTAAAAATAGTGGGGCCGGGAGCTGGTATACCATCTATCATCATGTACCTATTGTTTTACAGGGGTAAACAAGCCCCTCTATTAATCAACCAACCAATGGGAAAAGGACATCTATGACTTGAACATACTGGTTTTTGTTACATAGCTATTGAACATACCCCATTTATAGTTGATTTACCAATTCAAAATGGTGAATTTCTAAAGCTTTTTGTATGTTTGCCAGAGGGTTCCGGGTTTTACGGAGATTTCATGCGAAAAAAACTACCTCTAAATGGTGGATTGTCCATTGCCACCTTTGATTCCGGAAGAGTAATCCATAGAATTGTAAAGTTGGCTTAGTGATATTAAAACGACATGATGAAACGATGTAGATATGATGACATCTATAGCTTAATACATGGTTTAACCATGTAGATATGATGATTTAACCATGTAGATACTAATGTTGGTACTTTGCCATTCATGCATTTGATTCCGGATATGTGGAGACGACTAAATCCAGCTCCAAATATACCATGTAAACCATGGAGACTACTGGTAAAAAAAACATGTTCAATGGTAATTTCAGGATCCTAAATTGGAGGTACGTTAGTACCATATTTCTGGCCATATTTTGTGGGGATATGCCCTGAAATTTAGGCCCAAAAAATAGGCCTTATATATGGTAGGTACCTCCAATTTAGGTTCCTGACATGGCCATTGATAAAAACCATGTTCTACACTCCATCATATCCCCATGATTGTCATTCTCTCCCAATGTATCCCCGTTATTCACTGGTGAATTATGCTTAGGTTTCACCCTCTAACTATAGATACCATGTATAAACCACTTAGTATCTAGAAACAAACATGGTATGGTTATTGTATGATTTAGATTCGATATGTTTAGATGCATGACATTGTATGGCTATTCAGTGGTAAAACAAAAAAACACATCTTCTACACGACCATTCCCCGGCCTCCTCCCTCTGTCGGCTTTGTACTTCCTCACGCGCTTCGCGTTCCAAGCGCTGCGACAGCCGCACGCTGTGCAGGATCTGCTCAGAGGGCAGAAGCACCTGCCACCGTGAGAAGGTTGGGCCGCTCTTCATGATAGCTAAGTTGGCTTATTTCACAAAGTTAACGAGCCCCAAAGTTAAGATAGCTAAGTTTTTCACATTTCATCAAGTGAACCATAGGAAAATGGTGATATAACATGATATAACCAACAAACATGGGGATTTAATGGGATTTATAGCTCATTCATGATAGCTAAGATGGATTGTAATCCTCACAACTAGTTCGATGTATCTACCATAAACCATAGAATTCACCGTGAGCGGCAAATCAACCCACTTAGCTATGGGGCAGCAGCGGCACCGGCTGTGATGCAAAAAACAACCCCCATGAGTTGAAGTATAACCCCGATAACTCTGGTGAAAAACGTTTCCCCACATTCGTTTCCCTAGTTCTACAAGGTGGTTTGCCAGTTCGAAATAGCTACGTTGGTGCAAATAACTCCCATTTCACTATGGCTTATGGCAGATACAACTATAGTTGATGGGGTTTATAAACCGACTTATAACTAGGGGGCCCCACATTGTAGTTCTATCCGTGAAAACTGTCGGGTCAAAAACTTCAACTTGCCCCAGAGGTTACCCTCTGGTAATTTGTTATAGATAGCTATTGAAAATGGCACAGTAATTATCTGGTTGGTGGTTTCAACCCCTTTGAAAAATATGAAAGTCAGCTGCGATTATTATTCCCAAGATATGGAAAAAAACATGTTCCAAGCCACCAACCAGTCATTTGTAGTATAATTGATTTACCTATTAAAGATGGTGATTTTCCAGTTCGCTATGTGGGTTTCCCCAGAGGTTAACTTATAACTTATCTGGTTGGTGGTATATCTACCCCTCTGAAACAAATATGAGTTCGTCAACTGGGATCAGTATTCCCAACTGAATGGAAATTCACCAAATTCATGTTCCAAACCACCAACCAGTAAATATCATTTTTAAATATGATGAAAACCATCATTATCCCATGATTAAGCATCATCCTACCATGTTAGTTTCCCCAGAAAAAAAAACATCAATTCATGTTCCCAATCTTGCATTAATCCCATTCTTATTTAAGAATAGTGGAATTTCATTAAACATATCCCAATATTAATCCCACTACTGATCCCAAACTACCCTCTGGTAAACAAACATAGCTATTGAAAATGGTCCATTTAGTTCGTTGATTTACCTATTAAAGATGGTGATTTTCCATAGTTATGTTAGTTTACCAGAGGGTATATCACCATTAATCACCATGAATTATCATAAATTATCATAAATTATCATAAAATAATATTATTAAGCACTATTAATATCTGTTATGTTAGTTTCCCCAAACGTTAAATATTATGTGACCTGTGGGATTTCACCATCGTTTCCACTCCCGGTGTCCCGGTTTTGCACCTTTTTCCTGCGCCATTGGTGTTGTCCTGGTCGACCTTTGGAGACCTTACCTTGGCGGTGACCGGGTGGTGGCTATGCTTAAACCATACGGGAACCATAGGGAAAATGGTGGTTTCAGCATGAAAAATGGTGATTTATTGGGATTGATTGGCTGGGCTGATATGTGATAGCGTTCAGTTGGGCCAAATAACTGCAATTTTACTAGGGTTTATGGCAATTATCACTATAGTTAGATGAGGTAGAATGGAACAGACAGGGTGGTGCCTCAGTTCCTTAGCTATGTTGGGCCAAATAACTCCAACTTCACTATGGTTTATGGTAGATATATCGAACTACTTACTATGGTTTATAAACCAACTTATTACTGGGGGGGCACAACCTTGTATGAGTAGGATAATTAGAATATATTGGATAACCTGAATCGTTTTTAGAATAATTAGCACATCTTGGGACATTGTAGAACCATACTAGATGAATTTCCCAGTGTTGTAGGCATGTATATTTGGATAATACCTTTTTTTTTCAAACAAGAACATCATCATACCTAAGATATACCTATTACATCCCCACATCAATGGGTTGTACCCCTAATCTTGTTGACAATTGTACTATTTTCAGACTTACCCATTTCAACCAACCAAAACATATCCCATGAACAATTCCCATGAGAATTCTGAACAAATCCCCATATTATCCCATAGTATCCAAAAAAAAAACCATGAACAATCTGCATTTTCCGCGTCCATTCTTGAGCTCGGCTACATACCATGCGCCGGCCGGGATCCCAAGGATCACACCGCGGGTCCGGAAGAGGCTCCAGCCACCATTGCTACGGAGTTTTTTTTTTAATTTTCGTAAAACATGGTGGTTAAAATGGTTATTTTATGGTTATTGTATGGGATAATGATGGTTATTATTCAATATATCATAGTAAAAATATGTAAAAACATGATTAAATATGATGAAAGCCATCATTATCCCATGATTGAGCCATTATTAACCATCATTAATATACCATTATTAATCATTCTTTTTCGCAGTGCTACCAAGCTCTTCCCAGAAAATGTTGGACTTGGACATGACCATCATGACTCAACTTCTCCTCAACATCATTCAAGTTGTCATGGAAATCAAACCATTTGTATGTTGGATTGAGGTCATCTAAGAATCTAGAGAAATGTTGAAACGATAGATTGAACTGAAACTATTGAAACAAGGCCGTCACATGATGAGAAATCAATCTTGAGTGATTTAACACTTGGATGTACAATCTACACAAGGTGGAGCCCCCAAACGACAGCTAAGTTGTTTTAGTTCACTAGGTTAACTACGGTATACTATGGTTTATGGTAGATATATCTAAATAGTATTCTATAGTATTCATGGGGTTTGCAAATCAACTTACACACTCTATTTGAGAATACCATTTGAGATTTTGCTCACCTTGAAGTTGTGCCAGACTTGATGGGTTCTGGATTGACAAAGCCAGAGAACGGACGAAATTGTTCGGGGTGGAACCAGTGAACCCAGCAAGCCCATTCCTCCTCATAAAACATACCTGGACCCCCAAAGAACCAGGAATACATGGTGGTTTGCCCAGTTCCAATCATTTGTGAAGTAGAAATTCTAAGCCCTACCATAGGGACAGTATTTTTCAAATGGTGATAAACATATCTAAATTAAGGGTTCATCCTTGGTCGGTGAACTTCGCCCGAGATCTCACAATACTTTCCGCACCTAACACCCGCTTTTCGGTGTCCTCAAACGTGGCTGGGAAATCCCTAAAATGGAGGTTCTAATAACAATGGGAATTTCAGGATCCGATTTATTGGAGGTACCTACCATATATAAGGACTATTTTTTAGGCCTAAATTTCAGGGAACATCCCCATAAAATATGGCCAGAAATATGGTACAGTACCTCCATTTTAGGATCCTGAAGATCTCCCATTGTTTTAATGGAAAAATCATCGATCCAAAAGGGGGGTTTTCCACGGCCATGGAGCTGATGACACCGAAAAGCGGGTATCTTCATGGCCGGACTCGTACTTCTTTGTCGCGCCAAAACTTGCTGGTGGAAGCTGCTGAAAAGCTACAAAAGAATGCCTTAAACCTGAAGAGGCCAAAAAAAAAGCCAATGTTTGTTTTAAGGTTTTAGAGGCCTTGGTTTCTGAACTCCCTCATTCCAAGAGACCCTGGGTGGGTCGTTGTACCAAATATCTCATCTGGCAAAGAACAAAGCATCTGCAATCACAAAGTCAAACCAGAAAGCTGGCGTTTACCTTTAAGAATACTCCATCCCCAAATTCGTGGTGCAGTATTGCATGTTGGCGGCAGTTGAGCGACTTTAATAATAGGGTGATGGATGTGAACATATTACAGAACCATTTTCTGACGTAAATAGTATTGAATCATCAACGGTTAATGCTACATGAAATTGCAGTGTCCCTCGGCGCCGCAGGCGCCGGTGATGCATTTGCAGGTGCCAAACCTGAGATTTGTTCGATGGACGTTGTGCCCTCACAGGATCTAAAAAACACAGGAAAACATAGGAAATAATAGACAAAAATGGGGGTAAACAACAAAGAAACATGGAGATTGAATGTGATAGAGTAGAGAAACTGGTGCAAGGTGGTGCCCCCCAGTGATGTTTGTTGGTTTTTAAAGCCCATTAACTATATACTGTAGATATTATATCTATTCACTATAAACCAAATTAGATATCTAAGCGCGACCATCTGTCAGTATCCGTTGGTCGTTCGCTGTACTTCCAGGATTGCTGAGAGAATCAGTGAAATGTTTGGATCCATGGATCCATGGCTATCGATGGACGGGTAGTGAGCAACTCTCAAGAATCACTCTGGTTGGTGGTTGAGCCTACCCCTCTGAAAATACTAAGCACAAGTAAGTAATCTGGTTGGTGGTTGACCTACCCCTCTGAAAAAATATTTTTGTTCGTCAGTTGGGTTGATGAATTTCCCAAGATATGGAAAAATGTTCCAAACCACCAACCAGACTCAGTTCAAGTTCGATACCCTGCAGGAAAAAAACAAACATCCAACCCATCCAACATCTTCAAACATCAGGCGTCACACCAATTGTTATACAATGTTACTATACTAAGTTATTGGGGAATGATTCAGCAACAACTAGTAACATGGACCATTTAGGCACAACAACATCAAACATCAATTGTTACTTGGTGGCTTGTCCGACTTACTAAGTGGATTATATCATTATATCCCTGGTTTCTTCAGTGAGATTTGTAGGGTTAATCTACTTACAAATAGGGTTATAGCCTACTTACTAAGTGGGATGAGCCACTAAGCAGTTCAATCCCCGTGTTTTCCATCATAAATCATTTAGATCAGGTAGATTAACTAATGTTAATCAGTATGAATCCAATTTTTTGGTCGTTACCCTCTGGTAAACTAACATGACTGTGGAAAATCGCAATTTTTTATGGGTAAATCAACGAACTTTCTATGGCCATTTTCAATAGCTTTTTGTATGTTTACCAGAGGGTATATCCCTAGGAGTGGCATAGAATTTCTCATGTTTTTTTTCAGTCCCATGGAGAAATGATGAGACATCCATATAAATGAAAAAAAATATGATGAGACATCCATATAGATGGTAAATCAACTATGTCTATGGTGAATCTTGATTTTTGGTCGTTATATCCCATTAAAAACATCGATGAATCGATTTTCGCGGCATAGAAATCACTGACTTTCGCGGCTTTCGGCTCGCCGCGGCACGTGGGATGTCCGCCAAGAACGGTGGGATCCGCGTCGCAGGCTTGACCTGAAAAAAAAGAAGGACGTTGAAGGATCAATGGATAGATCCCGGTTTTTCTGGGCACATTCTTATTCTTTTCCAGTATGTATATATATATATATTGATGGTGTATACAAAAGTATATATATATATAATATATATATATAATTATCTGGCTTGTGGTTTCAACCATCTTGAAGAAAATGAAAGTCAATGGGAAGGATTACCCCATATATTATGGAAAATAAAATGCACGTTCCAAACCACCAACCAGTATATATCTATATATTGTAATGTCAATGATACTAGTTTCGTAATATCAATATAGTAGTAGTATACTATTATATCAATGTATCATACTATTATATTAACATGTAATATCACTACCATTATATTTATATCAACATAGTGAAATTATACTATTTCGATTATATAGCAGTGATATGTAGAAAACATATATGCAGAATAATGTTCCATATCTTTATCCATAGGAAAAACAACTACATTGTATATTATATATATGTAATATAGGTTTTATATTTGTATATATAGATATTACATGTATAGATATAATGATATTACATATATAGATGGAAACATGTATTTAACTCTGTATAGCTCTACAAATATATTGTCCATAGAAAATGGATGAACGTGGCAAATTCCCCAATGAAGGGGTGTTGAAATCGCTATTCATCCACCTTACCTGGAAAGTGGGGGCCCAAGGCCAGAGTGGACCGATGTCGAAGCTGGTTTAGTTCATTAGCTTAACATAGATAAACTATGGTTACTGTGGTTTCTAAAAGCAACTATGGTTCCGAAACTATGGTTTACTATGGTTTATGACAGATATAGCTATAGTTACTATGGTTTCAAAACCAACAAACATAACTAGGGGGGCACCACCTTATGGATGCGTTACAGATCTTTTTCAATTAAACATGACCCTTGGGTTCGAAACACCATTCGGTACTTCGATATATCTACCATAAACTATATACAGTTATGGCCAGAAATACCAGGTATAAGTACTAACAAAACCCCATTTATGCAATGTATAATCCCAGCTATAACCAGTTATAACTAAAACTTCACCATCCTTAACCTAGTGAACTGAACCAACTTTGCTATCATCAAGAACACAACTCAGCACAAAGCAGCTATATAAATACCCAAGTTTGCAGGTCAAATCCTCATTTCCCCCAGTTTTGATGGTGACATCAGTGACATGCCCGTAATATACTTATAAAATCATATAAAATCCATAAGTGGATTATCACCTGGTATATTTTACCTACATTTTCCGCACACATCATCAATAGGTACACATACGGTAGCTGAATGGTAACAAGACAAAAGTGGTTCTTACTTCGACTGCTCCCCAAAAGAACCAACTGCATCCTCGAAGGATCAGACTGGTGATCGTAACCCTGGTGAAAATCAATCCTGATCATCAACAGGAATCGAGGACTTAGCCAGAGTTACTACCCTCTGGTAAGCTAACATAACTATGGAAAATCACAATTTTTGTGGATAAATCAACTATAAATGGCCATTTCCAATAGCTATGCAACAGCTTACCAGAGGGTAATACAGAATCTCCATTACCACTGTAACGATGGATAGGTTTTCACGGGAAATCTACAGGAAACCCATAGGTTTTTACCATCAAATTTGATGGGGGTTCCTCTAAATGTTCCCATCATCCAATTCTGTGACACTAAGATTATCCCATGTTTGGGTTTGTAACATGTTATAACCCGCAGCACATTCCCTGATCATCGTAAGCCCCCGTGAACTCCCCGGAGGCAACTCAAAGTTCACTGCGATTCTGGTGTCGAACGGTGGGTGAAATTGGTTTCCTCAGACGATATTGGAGTTATAGGTCCTGCAATACTTCGATGACTATATAATTACATGTATATATACATATCAATAATATATCAAAAACATGTTGATTTTCCATATAGTTGATTATCATTAATAGTTCACTTGCCTTACAATATCAGGCTATTTGGGGATTCCAGCAGGTAACCTTGCCCAGATAGACATGTGGCTATGAGTCACAACCTTGGGATCCAAACGGTACCCAACAGAGCATAGCTGGTAGCTGACTGGATGTTGATTCCCCCTATCGTAAACTCATACAATGTGAGGCCCCCGTTGGATAGCTAAGTTGGGCCAAATAACTACAATTTCCCGTTTGGGTTTATGGTGGATATAACTGGATATAACTCTATAGTTAGTCTAGTTAGATGGGCTTCTAAACCAACAAACATAACGTTTGTGGGCCCCGCATTGTAGGCAACTCGACCCATCCTCATGTAAAATGATCCAGACCAAGTTGCCCAGGCCACAAGTCGTTGATAAGTTATTGAGCATTGGAGGATTCGTACCTGAGGTGGCTGCAGCAGTCGAAATTACCCTCTGGAAATTCAACATAGCTCTGGAACATGACAACTTTTCAGTTTTAACTAATCTATAAAGTAGTCATTCAAGTTCACTTACCATAGCCGCAGCCATGTTAAACTACCAAAGGGATCCAAAGGGCAACCCTTGATCGGGTAGAACGGACCCTTTCCGGTACCATGCTATCCATGGTGCGTTTTCGTTGCATACGTTTACCCCCAACAAATCACCCCAATGTAACATGTAGACAAATCCGTATTTCCATGTATTATCTTTGTAAGGACATGAAAACAACCCAATTACATAGATCTAAAAAGTATTTGATATGTACAGTACAGAGATGACTAAATTTGTCCACATGTTGGACTCAACAAAGGATTTGACCACAGCATAGACCGCTAAGACTGGTCATCCATGTCGTATTGCAGTCCTCAAAAAACACAGATCCAAAAAATGATTGCAGTCTTCAAACCAAGGACAGATCCCAAGAATTGTATTGAACATGAGAACATGATGTGATCATATGTGGCTATGAATTGGAGAAACAAACCTGTTCAAAATGAAAAAAATATCTAAGTTGTATCTAAATTGTTCCGAAAAAAGGGATGGTGTATGATTGCTTTACCCACATTACCCTCTGGTAAACTAACATAACTATGGAAAATCACCATTTTTTACTGGGTAAATCCACTATAAATGGCCGTTTCCAATGGCTACGTTAAATTACCAGAGGGTAATTGGAAAAATCCCAACATGGCCATGTTGGATTCAAAAATCCATTCGTGAACCTTCAAAAAACTGCCTGGTTTTCAGAACGGGATTTCCAACTGATTCTGATCAAGAACGAATCAGCAACTATTAGTTTATCAGTATTAGTTAGTGCATCTAAATGAACATATAATCATAGTTACTAATCAGTGTTAGTATATATATATATATCAATTTTCAAAATATGTACTAACTATGATAGATACAATATGATACTAACAATAAATTTGATGATATGTACTAATATATATCACTCATATCTATGATAGACACAACCCGATAAAAAAAATCCCCTAATGTGGGTAAAACAAAAATACACCATCCCCAATTCCACCATAAATAGGTGGTATAAACTATGCCTACCTAAATGGTTGGCAAATTATTGTTTTACCCACATTATATAATATTGATGGTTCAATCTCTTATTTTTGTTTTACCCACATGATATAACAATAATATAAACTATAATATAGTTACCGATATTATTATCAAACAACAGATGGTTCAATCTCTGAACCCATCGAACAACAGGGGTGTCTTGGAGCGCCCACGTACGTGTTCAACGAGTCTTGCCAGTACGTGTTGAAAGCCATTGAGGACAGTGGTGCCCAAGTTCGGAATCGCTGAGTTGGTGGAAAAAAAACGCTTAACTATTGGATTTATGCAGGATTTATGCTATATCTATAAATTTAAATAGGATTTATGTTTTTTCTTGGAGTAGCCATCGGATGAGCAATCCCTATGCATGTTGGAAACGACTAGTCATTGATCATCTCTCAATTGAGGTCACTTTCCAGCAACTCTTGGTTGCCAGTAAATCCCAGTAAGTGATATCCCATTATAAACTAAGGCCGCTTTGTTGAGGCACTCCGGACGCCACATTTCACCAGTGTCCACAGTCATCATGGTGATGTTGAAGTTGGGGTTCGAATACTCCCACCAACCAGCTAGCTCAGAGCCGGTGATACGCAAAGTTCCCCCTGGGTGATACCCCTGGTTGTCTCAGTGCTGACTCATCTGGTTGAAGGTCTGCACCATGGCTGACAACTTCTGGCTGCTCATCTGCCATTCCAGCTCAGCAGCTTTTAGTTTCAGCATCTTATTTTTTTTCCTCGACCTGCCTGGCCATCATCTCGCCCAGAGCTATACCTCGGCCTTCTTGTCCTTGCCTGCCTGAGCAGCTGCAGAGTCTCTCCACTTTGGGTCATCAAAACCTGGTCTGCCTTCCAGGTGAAGGAAGGCCATCATTATCCCAACTATATCCCCACCCCTGCTGTAGGTAAAACCTCAATTTTTTCACTATGATCCCATTATTATCCCATTATGATCTGGGTAAGTCACCCAAACATCAACCAGCCCAGTGGCAAGTGTAGCGCTTGGGGCAACCTCGGCCACAGTGGAACCCAGGAGGCAGTCGTTGCCATTTTCTTTAGAACACCAGCCAGCCCAAGAAACATTCGTTCACTGGGTTGATTGGGAAAAATCAGCCGAAACCATTCTGTCTCCGTTGAAAGACACGGGGCCCTTGGGTCATCCCACTTAGTAAGTAGGTAATCGTAATTATAGGTACAGTAACCGTAACCCTACTATGTGGGGCCCGCTAGTCATGTTTGTTGGTTTATAACCCCATCTAATTACAATTATAACTACCATAAACCCTAGTTATTGTAATATCAATTTCCCAGGGAACCTCCCATTGAAGCCATTGTGGGGGTACTAAAAGGTGGGAAATCCTAGATGAAAATGGATAGCTGGGAAAAGCATCGGTAAATTGTATTGTCCATTGCTGATAGATTCAATTTGGTTTATTGGGGATTAATTGGAGATAGTGGGGATATTTAGGGGGATATAATAGGGGGGACATTTATTATCGTTCAAATACCAACGAAGGCATTCCCCCCGAAATACATTAATATCTTCAATGGCAGTTCTTAGAGTTGATGTATGGCTATTTTTTGCAAAAATAACCTCTGGTAACTGGAAATTTAAAACACGGCAATGGAAAATAACAACTGAATAGGTAATTCATCTGTAAATGGGTCATGGCGTCCATAGCAAACTTTTAGTTTACCACAGGGCAAACTTTGCTTAGGACTTCCTTTTTTGGCCGGAACCAACAGGTCATAAGCAGATCCCTGGATCCAAGATGGGTCGTTGCGTTGAATCATCCAATTTGCTTGAGGAAGACTTCTTCCACCCATTCTCATTGGTGCATTCTCGCTGCTCCGCCTGCACAGAAGGGTAAACAGCTCTTCCTGGCAGTGCACGCATTTGTACACGTTGATGTATTGACCAAACGTGCACCGCTCCAAACGGTCTTTGGGTACCAATCACTGCCAGTTCCAGGATGGCATGCAAAAAAGTCTTCGAGCATACGATCTCAAAGTCCCAAATCTTAGGAAGCTGCCAGTTCTTGTTGGGCGCTGGCTTGTGTCGCTGCTTCCCAGTAACCATGCCTGTCACAGGTGGGTCTTGGTATCAATCGTTCCAAACCTGTTTCAACGTTTGGTTAGCCATAAAGTCATTCGAACTTGCTATGTGTCAAAACTGCTGTACCCAAGTGTTCACATAAAGATCACTGTTTGAGGACACTCATTCTCCAAATGTAGAAACATCATCGTTTTCGACACGACCGGGGACCCGCAACATTGCAATTTCCATCCGGGGACGTGATGATCAACGAATGTTTCTGGTTGGTGGTTGACCTACCCCTCTGAAAAATGATGGAGTTCGTCAGTTGGGATGATGACATTCCCAACTGAATGGAAAGTCATAAAATTCATGTCCAAACCACCAACCAGTGATGATCAACGATGTTTTTTGGGGGGTCCCCCAGTTTAAGAGAAACCCAACTGTGCCACGGTCAAGTTACATCTACAAAGTTTGGAGTCGAAAAATAGTGGGGTATACCCTCTGGTAAACATACAAAAAGCTATTGAACATGGTCATAGAATGCCATAGACATAGTGAGTGAGTTTTCCCATGAACAAGGTGGATTTTTCCAGTTCGCAAAATGTAACAGTTTACCAGAGGGTAGTATAGTAACCCTATGGCAATGGCGGCAATGGATTGATGACCCCCCAAAAGTGGCGTAACTTACCAAAGTTTTGACGATATCGCAACTTGATAGGTCTCCTGGTATCCTCCAATTTCAGACACAAGGTGGTGCCCCAGTTATGTAAGTTGGTTTACAAACCTGATGAACTATAGTTCGTTATATCATGTTATATCCCCCAACGAAAACCCAACAACAAAAAAATGGAGTGAAACTTGCCCCACCTTAGCGATTTTTTCGTTCGACCGGGGGCACCCAATGACCCAATGATATTTTGAATTCTGCCAAAGAGCAGGTCGGCGGGTCTTGCCTCGGTTGCACCAAAATGATTGGAAAATGGGTCCAGCTTGGGGTCTAAATGGCTCCATATAAAAAAAACAAAAAAAACATGGGAGGCTGAGTATTTTATTGTATATCCATAAAATGGGTGCAGCTTGGGTCTTAGGATATAGTGCCATAAAATGCTCCATGTAATCCATATAATATAAGATTCTAAGGCTGACTACTACATTACAAAGCATCGATCTTCAGCCTTGACTCCTCACTGCCACTCAAATGGGCTTTCGTCGGCAAGGTCGTTGTTGTTAAAGTTTGCCCCAATGGGAATGTAGAGGGATATACAAAGTGGTGTCCCGCTGTTATAAGTTGGCTTATAAACCCAATCAACTATGGTTATAAGTATCATAAACCATAGTTGTTGAACTTATCAGCTAACTTAGCTATTTACTGCTATCTATGGGGCACCACATTGTAGCATCCCAAAAGAAGATTAGAATCATTGGATACCTGGACATGGGAAAACATCCTCCATACCATCCTTGTTTAATCTGTTTTATCTTTTGGGGGATTACTATAAACCCACCAGAATCAGGAAACGTGCAAAAAGGAGATAGAACTTCAATATTATAACCTCCATAAAAACCAACACTTAAATGTGCAAAACCCACCATTCGTAGATCATTTGCCTACAATGTGGGGCCCCGTTTTGATAGCTAAGTTGCGCCATATAACTACAATTTCACGTTAGGGTGTATGGTAGTTATAACTACTATGTTTAGATGGAATTATAAACCAACAAACATAACGTGTGCGGGCCCAAAAAATTGTATGCTTTTCTTATGGTGAAATCGCGATTTTTCTATTGTTTTCCCATGGTTATCAACCAACAAACATACCGTTTGGGGGCTCCACATTGTTAGGTTTTCCCATGGCCTTTCCATAGTAATGATCATCCTGCTGTGGATTCACTGGCGGATGTTCCGTTGCCACTTCAAATTGCAACATCCACTGGTTGGTGGTTGAGCCTACCCTCTGAAAAATATGAAAGTCAATTGGGATCATTCTTCCCAATATATGGAAAAATAAAACTGTTCCAAACCACCAACCAGATGATTTCTGTCAAATCCTCATGATTATCGCAAATCAGAACTAATCCCTTCCCCCGGCTGCGGAATGATTCTGAAACCAAGGATGATTCTGCAACCAAAACCGGATGATTCTGAAACCAAAACCGATGATTCTGCAACCAAGAATGATTCTGAAACCAAAAGAAAAGATTCTGAAACCAAGGATGATTCCGAAACCAAGGACACCTGGAAACCAAAATGGCATGGTTCAGCAATGAAGCGGTGTGCATTTCTTTTTTTTCGAAGCATCGTCTTGGCTGTGTCATCTAGATACATGCCTGACCTGGCTAATTCGCTCAGAAATTTTTGAACGCCTGGCAAAAAGGTCCCCGTCTGGGTACGATGCCATGTTGAGTGTGGCTGCAAGTGTGTCAAAGGAAGGAACGCAGCTGCCAGGACGTTATTATCCCACCCCACCCCACCCCACCCCGCCCCACCGCATCTGGAGACGATGCCATGTTGAGTGTGGCCACAAGTGTGTCAAAGGAAGGAACGCAGCTGCCAGGACGTTATTATCCCACCCCACCCCACCCCACCCCCCCGCATCTGGAGACGATGCTATGTTGACTGTGGCCGCAAGTGTGACGCGGATGTTGGCTTCTGAGTCGAGCGGATGGTGGTTGCGGAATCGCCTTTTTTTGGTTGCGAAATCCTCTTTTTTTGGTTATCGTCTTTTTTTGGTTGCGGAATCGTCTTTTTTGGTTGCGGAATCGTCTTATTTTGGTTGCGGAAGCGCCTTTTCTTGGTTGCGGAAGCGTGTCTGATTTTGGTTGCGGAATCGCCGAAATTTGGTTGCGGAAGCGTCGAAATATGGTTTCGGAATCGGAATTTATTCCCTTCCCCCTATTACTAAACGTCCCTCAAATACTAAAAACTAGGGTCCGTCTCCAATTTTGGAAAATCTCAGATTGGCCAATTTGACTTTTAATTGATCCCCTTTAGAAAACAATTAAAAAATAAAGATACCATTTGTGGGTTTTGCCCCCTAATAATAAAAACTAGTTAACCCCGGGGTGTTTATTATTAGGGTCCGTCTGATTTTTTTGTTTTTTGTATTAGGGCTTTTAATTTCTTATTAGGGCCCGCTTCGAAAACCAATTTTTGGCAATATTTTAATTGCGTTATATAAGGAAATTTAATTGATTTTGAAATCGGAAAAAATAGATACTATTATTAAGGGTTTAATTTTATTATTAGGGTCCGCTTCGGAAACCAATTTTTGGCAATATTTTAATGGCGTTATAAAAGGACATGTTGATTGATTTTGAAATCAAACAAACTAGTTTTTATTATTAAGTGTTTAATTTTATTAATAGGGTCCGCATCGAAATCCAATTTTTGGCAATGTTTTAATTGCGTTATATAAGGAAAGTTAATTGATTTTGAGATCGGAAAAAACAGTTATTATTATAAAGGGTTTAATTTTATTATTAGGGTTCCTTAATAATAAATATCACCCTAATACTAAAAACTACCTGAGGTGTTTATTAATAGGGGAAGGGGGGTTTAGTATTAGGGGGAAAGGATTAGTTGGTGGTATACAGACCCCTCTGAACATTACGAGTTCCTCAGTTGGCATTAGGAAATTCTCAATATATGGAAACATAAAAAATGTTCCAAACCACCAATCACAGAATAATGTCTAAACTCGAAATACACTCTATGAATCTCTATGACGTTTCCTGAAACGAGGGACCCAAATTCATCCAAAGTTGGTCATTTTCGCTGCCGGGAAACCAGTGGTTTGAAGGAAACCACCCATATCAACCCATTACTCCCAATCATCCGCAATTGACCAATGACAATTCTCTGACTATTACAATGTGGTGCCCCATAGATAGCAGTAAATAGCTAAGTTAGTTTTTAAGCTCAATGACTATGGTTTATGATACTTTATAAGTCAACTTATAACTTGGGGCACTACTTTGTATCACCATTATAGCCACTATCAGCTTCCGGGCAATGGTTAAACCATGTCAAACGCAGGCGTTTGAGGTGTTCAGGATGTGCTAGTAGAGTTAAGAGTCTTGATGATGATGGATGATATGGATGTGCAATATAACGATTGTGGATTGATATTTGTTTCGGTGTGTATATATATATACACATAGTATAGTGTATAGTAATTCATAGTTTGATACTGAAACTAAGAATATCACTGCTATATACTAATCTATGTACATATATATATAATATAGTAATTGATAGTTTGATACTGACTGAACAGATTAATATCTTTTCTCGTTCTTAATTGATGAATATCATGAGAATTCAGCCACCCCCCAGCCAGGTATCGGGTTTACTAAGGGCGAATCTTAATCACCAACCATGGGGGGAGGGGGTTGAACCCCGATGATAAGAAGGATAATGCTTGATGATGGATGTGAACACCTGGATATTTTGATAAATGACAAAATGGATGATAATTTCGATATTTGGGATATTTTTTCAGACTTGGGTTTCGCACAAAATCTAGTTGGTGGTTGACCTACCCCTCTGAAAAATATTTAAAATTGAAACATGTTCCAAACCACCAACCAGATATTTGCCTATGTGACATGTCCGACCACTCACATCCGAGGGATCAGTAATCTCAAGGTGGGAAAAGTCGTATTTCACATGATTCCACTCACTGGATTGGTTGAAGGGAACATCTGCACCGGTTTTCCCATGGTTTTCCCATGGTTTACCCCATGAAATACAGGGGTTTTCCTATGGTTTCCTATGGTTTCCTATGGTTTCCTATGGTTTCCTATGGTTTCCTGTTCCTTTAAAGCCAATCCTTGGTGGAAGTGTTGCATCTATGCGAACCATGGTGCTGGAATATTTGCCTAACTGGGTCATTGGGGAAAATGTATATAGGATTATATAGGTACATATTCCAGTACCATGGAGCATCTGGGAATGAAGACACATCCTGCTATATAAGACGTAATTACAAGCGTTGTATGCCAGGTGTTTGTGTTTGATCAGTCGTTGCATGTCTGCACAATCTCACCAAATCTTGGCGGGTAACTATTTCTTCTCGTTCACAATCCTAATATTCAACGCTACCCTGACGAATATGGGGGGTTATGGAGTGTTATGTCATATCCTATATTGAAGGGATGACATTAAGAACCTCTCGCATCAGATTTGTTGAAATACCTTTAGCATTCCCGGAACTAACCTAGAAAACCGATCCGTGGCTAGTTCGCCACCAGGTAATCTTGGGGGATGATTAACCGATAAACCCCTGCTGTCACCATCTTGCTGCCAGATTACAGACCGCCCGTGCACTTGAGGAACGGGTTGCCAACACCAGCTCCCCTGGGACATGGCTTGGTGATGCTGTTGGGGAAACGCTGGGGAAACCGGTTATTTTTCATCATGTGAGTATACTGTATTACTGTATACTGCTGTGTATCTGTATTAATATCTGTATATCCCCATAAAAAGGCTATCCGGATAGGGGTATACACCCTCAAACTGCTTTATGAATTCCAAGTGTCCATGGCATGGTCAAACGACATGTCATGATCTCCGCCAAGAGGATACTGCTTGGGAAAATCAATTGAGTAGAAATATTAACGAATAAGTTCCCTACTTGGTGGCTCATCCCAGTAAGTAGGTTAGTTCACCCTAGTTGTAAGTAGATTAATCCCACAAAAATCCCACTGAAATAACCAGGGATATAACCCACTTAGTAAGTGGAATGAGCCACTAAGTATTGAATGAAATTGACCACTGATTTTTCATGAAATTGAATAACTATGTCATTCACTAGAAAATTAGTCAATTCGTCCCCTATAAATCAAATTGAACTGAATCTCACAAGAGATCATGGTTGACATCGACGGCATCCACAGCACCTGCACTCGGACTTTCTAAAAATGAGGAATCCCCAAAACCATAGCTTTCAATAGCAAAATTGACTATTGCTGTTGGATTTGGGCCGCCATTTTGGGACCCTCCATCTGTTCCACATACCCAGCGCAAACACTCGAACATAGAAGCTATCCTCTCCAAACCTTTGTCCGAACGGGATACGCCAAGTAAACTGCCGAACTCAACGACAGTCTCTGGCTGTCCCTGCTTCAAGATGTCGGTCAAGAAACGTTCACCTGGGTGTTCCACGCAGGTAGCGGCTCAGGCTTGGGTGGAAGCTTCGAAATCTTGGCCCAATCAAGCCTCAAAGCCTGTGCCTTGAGCCTTAGCCAAGGTAAGAAGAAAACTCCTTAAACAAGCGAAACTGCACAATGTGGTCAGTCGTGGCCTGAGCTAAGATCAATCTCCAACGGGCGTCTTCCACCATAATCCTCTTGCCCTCCGAATCGAGAAGCGCCTTCTTGTCGACCCCGTTTTGAAACACTTTGCGTTCGGCGTACCACTCAAGCTTGATACACGGGAAAACGGCCCATGATGGCAACACACCCGCTTGGGGCCCGCTACGTGTTGTGGTTGGTGGTTTCAACCCCTCTGAAAAACATGAGTTCGTCAGTTGGGGTTATGAGATTCCCAACTGAATGGAAAAAACATGTTCCAAAATGTTCCAAACCACCAGCCAGATATAACCAGATATTCTTTAAAACACAAAGGTCTAAACTGGTCGCATAGTCTACTTATGGGTGAACCCCATCCCAGACCCTTGTCGAGATCACGGTCGAAAAGGATGGTCAGAAGCGCTGTGTATCCCAAGAATGCTCCATGGTGCTGGAATTTGTTTTTCAACATGGAGCACACAAAATCACATAAATCAAGGTAAATATACCCAAACATAACCAAGCATTAGAGAGTGTGGTCTCTCTGGGTATATCAATGTATATCATTTTTTGTGTATCCCCCATCAAATTAACCTTGCATCCCCCGATTTTGGCAGGAACAAAAATGCAGATTATCCTCCACCATTAGATCATTTTCACATGGGAAGCCATGGTTTGTTTTCTACATGTTTGCTTCATTTGTCCCACTTAGATGGGAACGAAAATTGGTTAATTCGTTCGTAACTGGGTTACACATGGATATATATACATATATATATGTATATATATATATATGTATATATATCTGTATATATATATATATTATTATTGGTTGTATTCGAAGTTCCCAACCTGTTGAACTGATCAAAACTCTCTGTCATCCCTTTATTCTGTTTGGTGAAGAACGGGATTCCGACAATCGATGATGATCATCCTTTAATGCTGCACCATATATACAAGGTAGTATGGCCCCTTCCAATAACACCAACAACGGTTCTGAAAACTATCTGTGAGTATTCCTAATTATTGCCTTGCCTGTATCCTCAATGTATCCCGAGTGTCTCTCGGGTTCCATTATATATTTCCATGGCCCATCTATGGAATTAGTGTATATTACCGTATCCGCATTATATTCCCATATTCATTCCACATACCTAATCTACAAGGTGCTGCCTCCAGGATGCTCATGCTCTGCCCAAACGATAGCTAAGTTGGTTTACACATAGCTCAACTATGATTTACTGTATTTTAGATAGATAGCTCTATATCTAATATTACATACATATCTTCATATCTTCATATCTATATCAAGACATCTATATCTATCCATCTATATGTATATAAAATTATATATAATTATCTATGTTACAATATATATATAAACATAAATATATATATATCAGTATATTTTGACCGAGAACCATCACTCTGGGGCACCACCTTGGATAGGCGCCTATCGATCATTGGACCATACATACGCCTCATCTCACGGATCGTAGATATCCCTGGTTATGTTCGTGTAGTATTTAACCCTATCATAAGATGATCTCCCTATAAAAAGCCCTCAATTACATGTCATATTACCCACTGACTAATTATATATATATATATATCCACTATACAACTAGATAATTACCCCTCCCATTTTTTTCCCAATACAATTAACCCAGTGTAAATAAATGGTTAGGATCAGCAAAACCCCTAATCATCATCCATCCTGAGGCTCCTACCCGCAACTGTTGCCATCCGCAGCACAATGAGCTCCTGGGAAAACGATGAGAACTTGCTGGGGGTAAACAAGGGGAAGCGGAAGGGGAAATCTTGGGAGTTTAGAGCGATTTATTGTAATTTATTGTGATTGGTAGTGATTTATTCGCATTTATAGTGATTTGTAGTGATTTATTGACATTTATAGTGATTTGTCGTGATTTATTGACATTTATTGTGATTTGTAGTGATCTAGTGTCATTTAGAGTGATTTGTAGTGATTTAAAGAGGTATTTATCGGGATTTATGGGGAAATTTCACTGGGATCAACAATCGCCTTATCAGTTGTCAGGTAACCAACCCCTCTGGTTACCTATATCAAAGGCTAACTAGAATGTTATTGTCAGATGGACACCCTGCAAACATCAGCATTTTTGTGTGAGTATCATATTATATTATATGTATCCCGTTTTATGAACAATATATATATATGTATATATATACATAGAGAGACAAAGGTTTACCCAAGAACTGCAAATCATATCATCTTCATTCTGCATCAACGTTTGTTTGCCGCTTTAATTGTTCGGACTTTGCTGTGCAGATTGAAATTTGTGAGGCCAAATAGTATGTTGAAACGCTTTATGTATGACGTTGGAACACGGCACGGCACATCATGGCACAGTTTACATGAACTAATTTTGTCTGTTGTAAAAAATGGAGAGGTACTTCGCCTGCCAAAACTCTACAGTGTTCCCATTCACAACCTTGTGACTTGTCAATAAACAAACAAGTTGACCATGCTCCGCAGCATTTCAACAACTTTTTACTTCCATATAAAGTTTGAATCATCTCATCAAACTGGTGTCCTCAAATCTTGAGGAACATGTCCAATCACCATTCCAAAACAGAATCTAGAATTGACACATGTTGTCAGACGTCACGTTCCAGCCTAAATTCTGAGAATTTTCATTGAAAATGGCTCAGTTTGAGAAAAGAACCAACAAAACACATACCCTCTGGTAAACTAACATAACTATAGAAAACCAGCATTTTTTATGGGTAAATCAACTATAAATGGCCTTATTATATCGGCACATGTGTGTTGCTTCTTGATGTGCCATTGGCACATCTCCCAATAGTTTGAGCCACACGGAGTATTTTTTCTTTACCCTCTGGTAAACGTTAACAAAAAACTATGGAAAATGACCATAGAACTAGTTGATTTACCCATTAAACAAAGTGATTTTCTATAGTTATGTTAAATTAGCAGAGGGAAATAAGTGGGCAAACATCTACTTGCATGTGCATCCCACTTGGTAAGTGGTCTGAGTGCAGTCAGCAACTACCCTACTTTGTGATCATGATATAATATGTTGCATGATGTTTTTTCACTTTTTTTTGCCTAAGTGTTTGGCGGGCTCCGCGCCTGTAGATCCATCGCGAATAGTTGATCCAGCCAATGGAGCAACATTCTCCATGTCCATGGTTTGGATCAATTCTTGAATCGCCATGCCGTATAGATCACGTTCTCAAGCGTCCGGGCCAGAGAGCCCATGATTTCCAGGGCATGGTCGATTCTTTCATGATTCTCGGCCCTCTCAGCTGCCAATGCCTTGTTGGCCATGGACTTCTGGTACATAATCCATATATGACCCCTATAATCCCATATATAAGTGGGGATATTCCACATATAATTTTTTTTTTGGTCCATTTACTCAGTGGGGCCCGCACCCCCACGTAGAAAAAAAAACTTGCACTAATGGACCTGCTGAGTGAACTGGACCAAGAACTTGTTTGCTGTCCCCTCACCCGACATCTTCAGTTCATAGATTATGGTCAGATACAACCGGAATGGTCCGGAAATCGGCCCAGCGTTTTCATCAATTTTCATGTTCATGGTGATGTTCGTCTTGGTGAAAACATTGCTATTTGCCACGTGTTTATATCATGGTGATGTCTTTTGGCACCTCATTTCCATCGGGATTTATGGAAAAAACGCATTGTTTTACTGCAGTGCGAGTGCGAGTTTTAAAAAATGTTGACACCATCCCAAAAGCGTAACGTTTTTTGAGGGTATTCAACATGCATTTTTTAACTCCCACTGCAGTAAAACAATGTTTTTTTCATAAATCCCCATGGAAAGAAGGTGCCAAAAGACATCGCCATGATATAAACATGTGGCAAATACCTCGTGAAGCCACAGCGCCAGCGATTCTTTTTCATCACTTCAACTTGCGGACCGTCTTTGCAGTGATGAACGTAGCATGAAGCGTGCTTACCGAAGTACAACAGAAGAGTAGAACATAACATGAAGCATGCTTACCGAAGAACAACAAAACTGTAGAACGTAGCATGAAGCGTGCTTACCAAAGTAAAACAAAAGTGTAGAGCGTAGCATGAAGCGTGCTTACCGAAGTACCTCAGAACTGTAGAACGTAGCATGAAGCGTGCTTACCGAAGTACAACAGAAGAGTAGAACATAGCATGAAGCGTGCTTACCGAAGAACAACAAAACTGCAGAACGTAGCATGAAGCATGCTTACCGAAGTAAAACAACAGTGTAGTAGAACCTAGAATGTGCTTACTGAAGTGCAACAGAAGAGTAGAACATAGCAGGAAGCGTGCTTACCGAAGTACAACAGAAGTGTCGAACGTAGCATGAAGCGTGCTTACCAAAGTACAACAGAAGAGTACAACGTAGCATGAAGCGTGCTTACCGAAGTAAAACAGAAGTGTCGAACGTAGCATGTGTGTTTACCGAAGAAGATCGATGAGAACGTAGAAACAGGACGTTATTACACCCCCCCACCCCACCCTCCCCAAAAATATCACAATGGAAAAAACGCACAAACGCTGGGCCGGTTTTCGGGCCGTAGGCAAATACAACTTCCACCTTTTTTTTTATTATTATAGATGATATAGAATTTTTAGAGATGATCGAAGGAAGTTTGGAAATCAAACTTCCGACAATATGGAGAGATGAAAAAGCAGTCAGCAGGGAGAAGAGTCAGAAGAGAAAAGATCAGAAGAAAGAAGATGCAGGTGCGCGAAAAGGTACAAAAGTCGCGAAACACTGTGTTTTTTCGTGGTTTTGTGGCTCCGGAGGGTTGAAAAGTAGGCTTGCTAAAGCGGCGGGTGCGGAGACATCTGGGGAGATGAGAGATGAAAAGTTGCACGCCGTTGTGGCGCGAAGCACATTTGGAAGTAAAATGTGTTAAAAACTGAGGGGGTTCGGACCACTTTTGGAAGTTGAGATGTTGAAAAAGTGCACTCCGTTGTGGCGCGAAGCACATTTTGAAGACAAAATGTACAAAGAACATAATTGTCGGACCACTTTTGGAAGTTGAGATGTCGAAAAAGTGCACGCCGTTGTGGCGCGAAGCACATTTTTAAGTCAAAATGTACAAAGCACACCATTGTCGGACCACTTTTGGAAGTTGAGATGTCGAAAAAGTGCACGCCGTTGTGGCGCGAAGGACATTTAGAAGTGAAAATGAACAAAACACTACATGTTCGCGCCACTTTTGGAAGTTCAGATGTCGAAAAAGTGCACGCCGTTGTGGCGTGAAGCACATTTCCAAGTCAAAATGTACAAAACACTACATGTGCGCGCCACTTTGGAAGTTCAGATGTCGAAAAAGTGCACGCCGTTGTGGCGCGAAGCACATTTCGAAGTCAAAATGTTAAAAAGACCAGGGGTTTGGACCACTTTTGGAGGTTCAGATGTCGCTTCGCTTCACTACACTACACCTACATTACACTACACTACACTCCACTACACTGCGCTCCACTACACTACACTACATTACATTACACTACACTCCACTACACTAGACTACATTACACTACACTACCTTCCACTACACTTCACTACATTACACTACACTCCACTACACTACAACTACAACTACAACTACGACTACACAGCTACACTCCACTACACTCCACTACACGAAATTACACTACACTACACTACATTACACTACACTACACTACATTCCACTACACTCCACTACACTACACTACATTACACTACACTACACTGAATGACACTGCACCACAGATAGACAGGTAGACAGATAGACAGATAGATAGACAGACAGGTAGACAGCTAGACAGATAGACAGATGAAAGAGAGAGAGAGAGAGATAGATAGATAGATAGATAGATAGGTACATAGGTAGATAGGTAGATAGGTAGATAGGTGGATAGATAGATAGGTAGATAGGTAGATAGGTAGAAAGGTAATGAGATGAAAGAGAGAAAGAGAGAGAGATAGATAGATCGATAGATAGATCGATAGATAGATAGATACATAGAAGGTAGGCTGGTAGGTAAGTAGATAGTCAGAGAAAGAGAGAGAAAGGGAGGAGACCTCGAGCACCTTTCGGTCCATCAGTGGATTCGCTCTGCCATCCCTGATTCACAACAGCCAAGCTCTCCTATAGGTTTCCTATTTTTGAAACTTCCGCCACCGCCTTGTGCGGTACTACTGGTATTATATGTCATTATAGATGATTACAATGATTCTAATCTTTGTAGAACACACAAATCATTTAAATAATTTTATAGGTGATATATTTCATTCTGACACCATTTTACTACATGGGTTGGTAAATGTCCTAATGTTTCACATCACCCAAATATTGGGGATATAATCTCCAACAGATACTTGTTTGAGTGATGTGAAACAAATCCCAAAGCCATGTGACATTTACCAAACCCTGACCAAGAACCAATCAACCAATCATCCTAGTCATAAGTGGAATAGGCCTACTTATCAAAACAATACCATGGTTGCTAACCACTTGCTTTGTGGGAGAACCAATTTTTCCATTGCAGTGGGTTGTTTCACTGCCGGAATCATCCACTGAGAGGCGAGCCTAGTTGACATTGGCAGTAGCCATACTGTGGCCCCGCAAAGGGGTTCACATTGAAACCAGCAGAGCAAATAGCACCTGCAACGGAACCCCATGGCCGAAGACTTTGGAAGATGCTCAGTTGGTTCCAATTCACTCCCTACAAAGTGGGGCCCCAAGATCTATATAAGTTGGGCCACATAACTCCAATTTCACGTTTGGATTTATGGTAGTTAAAACAAACTAGTTGGATTGGGTTGTACTCCAACAAACATAAAGTTTGCGGGCCAAACAAAATGTATGCTTTTCTTATGGGTTTTCCTGGTGAAATCACAATTTTCCTATGGGTTTTCCCATGGTTTTCCCATGGGGGCCCCAGCTTTTGGAGGCTTCCGTTTCGTCATGGGGGTACCCCCAGTGGATGATTGTGAAATCCTGTTGTTGTTTCAAAGGAATCATTGGGATTATACTGGTTATTTCCCACTTGGTAATAGGGATTATTCTGATTATTCATAGTTGATAGAAATCATGATTACATAGTTATTTCCAATAGTTACAGTACCCTGCCTGGTGATTCGGATTTCGCAACCATCCACAGATTGGCATGTCATGTTCCCATTGCATCACTTGGCCGCCTCAACAAGGAGCAGCGGCTAGCCCATCGCAAAAGGATGGAGTATATAGCAATTTCACCCTTTTTCATTGCCAACAGTTTTGATGGTTGAGACAATGCCCCAATGTTTGATAGTTATATCCCATGTTGCCCCCTGGTAAACATACAAATAACTATGGAAAGATCCACCATTTGTCATCGGAAAACTCACTATTTCTATGGCCATTTTCAAAAGCTATGTTAGTTTAACCTCTTGAATAATATTAGTCAACGGGAAGGATTATCCCGTATATTATGGAAAATAAAACATGTTTGAAACCACCAACCAGATAGATTAGGAAATGGAGATGTCTGTACCATAACATAATCTATGTATGTATATACTATAATCCCTAATATCCTACATATCTGTTTTTCATACTGACCGTTTCCTAACTTCAGGTCTTGTGAAAAAGCAGTACCTTGCAAACCACTGGCATTCTTTCGATTCTGTGGGACCACGGGGATCAACGGGATCAACGAGCAAAACGTGTGTCGCCACGTGAAAACGACTTAGTTTAACCCTGGTGGTCCTGCCTCAGCCTTTGGTAAATGGGGTATAATGGGGTATATATAAATATATAAAGGGAATGTATGGGGATATGTGGGGGTATAATGGGATATGATGGAATAGTTAGCATCTGGTAATTGAACGATCTGCTATGGAAAACAATTAAACAGGTACTTAGAGTAATTCATCATGAATCATCTCTCATGGGCATTTTCCATAGCTATACGGTAGATTCATTTCTAGATGTTGAATTGTGTTTAAGCTCATTGGCGCAACAGTTCGGATATGTCCAAACATGCGGTATAGCACGGTATACCCCAATTACACCTGCATTTTGAAACTGGAAAACCAAGTCATCATATTACTCCTTAAATTTGAGGGGTTTTCCCAAAATGTTCAGACAAACCAAAATATAGTGGTATTGGTGGATATATCCGAAGACATTCCCATTGCATCACAACCGCAGCAGTACAACCCCAAATTTCTGAACTGCTGGATGGGTATGCTAAGGCGCACAAGTCTGGAAGGTGGTGGCCCAGTTCGTTGATTAAGTTGGTTTGTAATTAATGTAAGTGAGTTTTACAGTAGATATAGACTATCATATTTTGTTTGGTCTCTTTGTCTTTAATTGATGGGATTTATACACCAATTTAAACTGAGGGACAACACTTTGTATCTCCATTGTATCCCAATGATATCCAATTATACAGTTGGGCTTGTCTGAAAATGGGATACCCCATTCGAACCAAAGGTTTGTCATCATTATCTCTATTTAAATGGCTACTTGGGGATATATCCTACTTTCAATCAGCTCCAAATACCACTTGGCTGAATTAACAAGTATATGATGGGTTCCCAACATAACATGAACGGTCTTCGCAATTAAGACTCTTTACAAGGACCTTTAGATCGATTATCATAGCCACTTGCAGTATCTCCCCATTACCATCTGGTAAACTAACATAACTATGGAAAATCACCATCTTTAATAGGTAAATCAACGAACTAAATGGGCAATTTTCATGGCTATTTTGACATAGCCAGAGGGTATATTCCTATGATCTTCCCACTTTGGGATGGTCCCACCTGCGTCCAACGGTCCCCCGCGTACCCCGCGTACCCCGCGCGTGGCGAGCCGGCCGCCTGGGGGACACGAGGTCGACATGTCGAAGGGATTCGGAGGATTCCTCGGTTGTGAATCGCAGCTGGCAGCTGGCAGAAGAGAACATGTTGAGCACCAGGTAGAACTACTGGTTGGTGGTTGAGCCTACTCTGAAAAATACGAGTTGGTCACTTGGGATGATGAAATTCCCAACTGAATGGAAAAATAAAGAAAAATAAAAATCATGTTCCAAACCACCAACCAGTATGGGGTTTAACCACCATGAGTTGGGATATAAGACAAGATGATATAACCTTCTACACCTATTTAACGGAACTGCGCCCTCAAGTATACCAATGGATCCAGAGACTTCCTCAGAAGGGACCTAACCCCCTCTTCCACATCAACTTGGATTTGCCTAAACGGAGATTCCCTGACGCGTCCTCCGGTAACACGGCAATGGAAAATCCACCATTTATAGATTATTTCCCCAGCTAGACACCTCTATCAGTAGGGGGTTTTGAAAGGCAATATTACCAGAGGGAAACGCCCGCAAGGTGTCTAAGAAATCCCCAATAGTCAGAAAACCATACCAGTTGAGCCATGAAAAATACCCTGGTTTTTCCGTCTCATGGAATACTACTTGGTTGATAGGTTTCCCAAGGAAGGGGTTAGTTCAGAATCCTCCATAACCAGTTAGCAAAACTCCTGAAGCAATGACGAATCAACACTCCTTTATCAACTGCTGAGATGTGCACGTTGCAATGGTTTGATTTTCTGTCAAGAGAAATGCTGCAGTGGATTTCGAAATCTCTGCCCAGTCAGTTTCCCACGTTCCAAAAAAAATCAACAGACCCAAAGCTTCCCAATCCAGAACAATATATATAGCATGATCCAAAAGTCAAAAAAAAATCCAGGAAAAACTACTTTAGCTCCTAAGATGAATATGGAGTGATTGAATGTTCCTCGGGATGTCTTGAAGTCATCCCTCAACTTGGTGATGCTGGATATTCGTTGTTGCAGAAACTTGCACGCCTGCCTGCTGTTCATCTTCTGGTGAGTCAAAGCATGTCTGCAACTCTAGCAAAATAGAGTCATTTTCGTTTCCTGCAAGGTGGTGCCCCCCCAGTTATAAGTTGGTTTATAATGCCATTAACTATAGATATATCTACCATAAGTCCTAGTTATTAGAGTTATAAACCAACTTAGCTATCTTGGGGGTACCACATTGTGTGATGTCTTGACCATATAGTATCTTGGCAAATTATAATACTTCACGAACCTGAACTGTTAGGCCATTTTGGCATGATTCCCCTTATTAACCATGATTCCAGGGCTCGGCAGAACAGAAAGTCGTTATAGTTTGCCCAGATGGTATTCTCTGTGCCACGTTCCTTCTTCTTGGCGATATCATCTGATGTTTTCGATATTTTCACCTTCATAAAACCCGACAACCAATTGATTGTTAATTCCCAAATAATCAAAAACCAATCAACCAAACTATTTCAAAATATTAGTAAATGTTGCCCTGCTAAATTACCAAATATTCCCCAATCATATTCCCCAAGACAATATTCCTCAGAATATTCCCTATATCCAATCAGCCAGTTTAAAAACCCTATTCACTAGTTCCATTCTAATCTAAATCATAGAATTCACCTAGTTGACTAAACCAACTCACTTATCATAAATCAGCTACAGAAATCCCTTTAAATCCCCATTTTCGTTGGTTAAATCACGATTTTCAAATATTCCCCAATAAAATCTTCAGTATAATATTCACCAATAATCCTAATTATAAGTGGATTAACCCTACTTGTCCCACTTGTAATCAGGGTTGTTAACCACTTTATAAGCGGAATGATCCATCCAGTGGGGGAAGATGCAGAAGCGCCACACAAATTCCAAGCGTCGTGCAAGTTGCCCCCCTCGCCATGCAGCAGGACAAGTCGCTCGTCTTGGATGACTTTTGCGGCTGGAGACTGGTTGTATGATGGATTTACATGGATTTATCAACCAAGATGTGGCAAAGCCATGACATGGTGCATGATAGGGCGGTAGAAAAAGGATATACTAGGGATATACTAGGGATATACTAGGGATGCGATTCCATCTGATGTTTTGGTCTATCTGAAAATGGGGTATACCGCAAGATGGCAGTTTCAAACGGGAAACTGATGATCAAGTACCAAACCATAACACCGTTTATAAGCACATGCTCTAAATAAAATACAAGTTGAATGTGCATCCCAGTTAGTAAGTGGTCTGTAATCTCCAAGTATCTGTGTTATCTATCTATCTTTCTCTTTCTTTCAACTATTTTATTCTATTCTATTCTGCTGGAAATGGCCACAATCTCCTCCATGCCTTCCGCCGCCGCCGCCCGACAGCACACCGGCCGATCCCACGGAATGCTGGCCAACTCCATCTTGCCCGTGGCCAGCGCATCCTTCAGCAACCCGAGGATGCTGACACCGGCCGAACCGGTTTTCACCAAACTTCCACCGCACGACATGCAAGCCACCGTGCCATTGGGTCGAGCTACGACCCCTGCACCCCTTGCTCTTTGGTCGCCTGCTTCAAGCCAGCCAAAGCCGGTACTATCGACCAACACTAAGCGAGATGCGACCATGGTTGCACCACCACCTGTAGCAAGTCGCAGCCTAAGCAACGCTCCGGGGCGACCCGCAACCTGCGATTTGGGTGTGGGGTGGGGGATGATAACGTGCCTGCCAACTTGCTCACGTCATCTATGCTTCGTGAACTTGGGGGTTCGGGGGGGATGTTAACGTGCCTGCCAACTTGCTCACGTCATGTATGCTTCGTGAACTTGGGGGTTCGGGGGTGATGTTAACGTCCCTGTCAACTTGCTCACATCTTGTATGCTTCGTGAACTTCGGGGTTTGGGTGGGGGGGATGTTAACGTCCCTGTCAACTTGCTCACATCTTGTATGCTTCGTGAACTTCGGGGTTTGGGTGGGGGGATGCTAACGTCCCTGTCAACTTGCTCACATCTTGTATGCTTCGCGAACTTCCGGGTTGGCTCGGATATGTGTATATACATATATATATACATATATATATACCTGTAAATATATATATATATACAGTTACTTTCACATTTAGATACATATATTCATTATATATATATAATTAAAAATGTGTCTATTTACATATAGATATATTGTTCACAATTATATACATTTAATTGTACATATCTTCTTTACATGTGTATACAAATATATATATATATACATATTTCTCTCTTACGTGCATATATATATATACCTATCACATGTACTGTAAATATATTTTACATTTGAATACATAATATTATATATATATATATGTTTAGACATGTGAAATTAACTTGTCAGGGAATGTCATTCAATGACTGAGAAAAAGTCACTGACACCACTGCAGTTTCTCAAAGAATTGGCCAAAGCTTGCAGTCCGCAGTCCCCAAGACGGCGCGACCTGCTAGTAATACCATGGTTAGCCTCTGGTAATTTAACAGTTTGCTATTGAAAATTGCCATAAAAATAGTTGATTTTCCCATGAAAAATTGATTTCTCATCATTTATAGGGTTTTTCCCATGAAAAAATTGCCGTTTATAGGGTTTTTCCCATGTAAAATGGTGGTTTTCATGGTTTTTTCTATGTTCCCCAGGCCGGGTAGCAACCTCCGATGCCCGGGATGCATGGAAATTTGCCACGGGACGCCGGGGATGCAGCTGCCAGTGCTGTTCAGCGTCTCCTGTGGGCTATAATGAATTGGTTACTGTAAATATAGTAATATAGGTTCAGATATTTACCAGGTTCAATTAAGAACTAAAGCTAATGAACGATATATATATATATATTAATATATATATATGTTAATATATATTAATAAATATATATATATATATACAATATATATATATATATTAATATATATATATATATTTATTTATGGTTTATGCAAAGATAATGAACATAGTTAATGAACTTGTAAATATATGAAGGCCATGTTCATTATCCGTTCATTCCAGTCAACTTCAATGATTCAATTAACGTAAAACGGAATGTGAAGATCATGAACATAGAACGGGAATATCAGGGAAATAGAACAGGAATAGAACTGGGAAACGAAAGATGTAACCATGAAAAACGGTGACCTAACCAACAAGGAATGGTGAGATAATGACGGATAATGGGGGTATGACAGGGATCTAGTGGGAATATAATCATATGATCTCCCGTCACAATCCTTTGCATGTGAGTAGTTGCTGTTGTTGTGGTTATCGCTTTTGGGGGGGGCCTATCGCTTACCAGGGTTTTGTGGAAATCAGCATGTGCGAGATCCAACATGAAACCAAAATCCATTCCTAAACAGGCTCGGAAATGGATCGAGGAGTTGTTTTGTTGGTCTCAGGTGCTTCGGCAACACTTCAAGTTCCTTTCATTTTGCATTCATTTGCATGCATTTTCCTTCATATTCCTTTCATTTGCATGCCATATTCCTTTCATTTTGCATTGATTTCCTGTCATGTTCCTTTCATTTGTATTCATTTCCCTTCATTTTCCTTTCATTCCTTTCATTCCTGTCATTTTCATTCCAATGTGCATTCATGTCCTTTCATCTTCCGTTCATTGCATTTTCCTTTCATTTTGCATTCATGTCCTTTCATTTCCTTTCTAGAGTTATGGAATGGCTCTATGGCTTGGCCAGGAGACCGAGTGCAACAAATGGTTATCGCTAAGTTATCGCTAAGGATATTGCTAAATAACCCCTCGAACATATGACATTGTTCGAAGGACATTTTCCACAAAAACGACAGAGAGAGAGAGAGGGAGAGAGAGATAAAGAAAGAAAGAAAGAAAGAAACAAAGAAAGAAAGAAAAACAGAAAAATATCAAAAAGAGAAAACAAGAAAAGGAAGAACGAGCGAAAGAAAGAAAGCAAGCGAACGAGTTCGATGTCAAATGATATGGTAACTGCAGGAAACAGGGCACCACAGGTTGAATTTCTCATCGGTTTTGTCGGTTCTGTGAATGTGCATAACAGTATTTGCTTGGTTTACGCCAAATTTAATGGACTGTCGTGTATGGTCCCAGGTTTTGGGGCGGCCCTATCTATCGTTTTACAGGTTTCGTGCACATCTCTGACAAAAAATCCTGCAATACTAAAGTGGTCTTCAACCATTTTGACCGTGATTCATATAGCTTTAGGGTTTCCATAGCTGCCATAGCTATGTTAAACTACCAAAGAGTAGCCAATGGGAATAGAATGGGAATATGCAAGGTAGGGCCCCCGTTTACGATAGCCAAGTTGGCTTATAACTGCAACTTCACGTGGGTTTTTGGCAATTACACCTAGTTCAACTCAGTTTAACTGACATGTGTTTATGTATGTATAAATCATTGCTTTCTTCAAGTGATATCTTGCAATCCTTCTGGCATTCTCTCTGACTTATATGCTGCCGGCATGTCTGGCATTCTATCTGTCATCAGTTCGGGTCCAGGCACACTCCACAGCATCCGGAGCTGGCGATATGGGAGCGAATGTAACAAGTGCAACAAGCGAGGAGGAGGCGAATGAGGTGAAAGACAAGACGAAGAGACGAAGAGGAGGAGGAAGAAGAGGAAGAGGAGGAGTAGCACCTTTATGAAAATCTAGAGACCCTCACCTGGCAGGGGGGAAAAATATTAAATCTTCAAAAGTAATTTCACACATTTTGTGTTATCCTCAGTTCTACTGGTTAATCATTAGCCAGTCTGTCGTGCCATTCACTAGTTGGTTTCGCCATCATCATTCGTCAGCTTATATAAACATGTATAAACCCCAACTCTTTCGGGGATAGTTGATAAGTTCACAATTGATTGGCAAATCTTCAAAGTTCTGAGTGGTAGTTTTAGCCTCCTTGGACGATACAAGTCAATTGGGATCATCATCGTAAGTATGGCTCGAAATGACAAAACATTACAAGACACTTCAAACCGTGAACCAGTAATCTAGTGGGTATATGACCCTTGTCATAATTTATGGTTCATTTCCTGTTCGCCTCTTTTGTGCTCAGCCTGCTCCTTCGCGAGACTTTCCTCCAGATCCGTTTCGGCGCTCGGATGTGCAAATTTCGTGGTCTGTCAGGCGCTTTGCAGGCGCGGAGTCTGCGGCTCGTCTGACGTGGCAGCCATGGCAATTGATGCTGTACCCCAACGACTTTAAGGCATGGCATCTGCAAATTCCTCACGCAAGGACCTCTTAGAGACGATCTCATCAGGATCTCCACAAGACCTTCTGTTAAGGACCTGTACCAAGTCATGCAAGGACCTCTTGAAGAGGAATTGAACAAGATCTCCGCAAGAGCACATTTGTGCGAGAATTCAGAATGAAAATGCCGCAAAGCCAAACTTGAGAACGCCTTTCTATCAGTAACAATCTCTAACTTTTGAAGGTGGAATCAACCAAAATCCCATATCAATTCATAACAACCTCCAAAGTCTAAAGTAACGATAAATTATGGTTCTATCTTTATTCGGGCTACTCTATATAGTTACTCTAGTTGATGTTGATCTATGTTGATCTATCATGACCTATCCCCCTTTTTCCCATAACATGTTCTCCTCACTTCTCTTCGCAGCTTCTTGCGATTCAGACCCCACCAGAGCTGCAGATGCTGCAGCCGTCTTGGGCTCGTCATCCTGGAATGCAGTTTCATTGGATTGGTTTTCTTGGGAACATCTTCACCGGTTTTACCATGGTTTTCCCCCTGTAATGTATAGCGGTTTCCGGTAAAATTTCCCTTAAACCAAACCAGTGACAGTTTCAAACATTTCATGAATGTCTTGTGCAGTTGACAACAGTGTTGCGTCATCCTGGAATGCAGTGGTCTGTCATCAATGTTTTTTTTACATGCTTAACTGGTTGGTGGTATACCTACCCCTCTGAAAATATGAGTTCGTCAGTTAGGATTGTTATTCCCAACTGAATGGAAATTCATGAAATTCATGTTCCAAACCACCAACCAGATAGGATTTTCCATTATAATCACTATAAACCAACCAATTTTGGGGATTCCCCATGACTATGGAAACCCCCCATGGCTAAAGATGGTGTGCTTTCGCATCTGGGTTGCCTTCTCTTTTGCAGACAGATCCCGGATCCAACGTCCACGGTGTATCGTTCACAAAAATCCAGGCCCTGAAATCCGCTGCCCAGACGAGATGGGCATCGTTGAACAATTAGATCTTCATATGTTTGCTGTTTAAACATGTTTTAAAAGCCTTGAACATGATGACTAGATTGAAAGATCAAGCATCACATTTAGCTGGATTATGATCTCTTGTAGGTTTAAATTCTATTGGATTTGATGCTTAAATCCAATTTCATCTCGTAGCGCCAGAACCATGTCCGCAGGTCTTGAAATGAAAGTCACTCTCCAGGCCATACCAATGACTGCGGTTCTTGATCTCTGATAGGCCCAAGTCACGCCCTGGAAAGGTGCATGCGGATTGACAGTGAGATCAATCTCACATCTGTCGTTGCCCCAATTGAATGCGTTCGGCAACGCAATGGGACCCATCCCCACCAACTGGCACGTCATGCAATGCACAGTCTGTGCGCCCTGCTCACGAAGAGCACGTGGGTGAGCTCCTTTGACCGCCAGTCCCTGCCGCAGAAACTCTGGGGCAAACAATTTATGCCAAGCAAATAACAAGATTTTCGATAGACAACGGCATGACGACACTGATATTCTGATTTTGTGATGTCTGCAATGTTGATCCAAAAAAGAAATCTCATTGGGCTGATTCTGCCCATCCCTTCTGAAGAATTTCGCTCTTTCGCAGATTTTCCCAGTTCTATGGATACACCAAAAAAAGGTCCCTGAGGGATAAACCTTACCCAAAAGCCCCAGTAGTGGCCATTAAGAGCCATTTATATCCCATTGAACTACCATGAACACCACATTAAACCCCGATTGATTGTTAATAATTGGTAGGTATACACTTATTTTAGCATCAGTTAACGATCGTAGATCTGCAGCAATTTTTGGTGAATACCACCGTTAATCCCTTAGAATTCCCTGTTAATCCTTTTAAACTCCGTGAAACTCAAATTCCCATTTAGATACTATCATATGCTTGGGAAACTCTTGGTAGCTTCTGGGCTCTCCATTCAGTGAATATGGATACAACCATAGCCTCGAAGCGCTCCCTCCTAACCACTGGATACTATACTCAGACGATGTGTGAGTAGGTCTCTGCTTACCCAGCCGCACTTTCCTTCCATCATTAGTGAAGTACGTTGGGCAAGTGAGACGCAACTGCAACAGTAGTTGCTCTGGGAATACCATACCAGACTAATTAAATTAGATAGACACTTCCATTAAGCCTCCAATTCCATCAGTATGGCCATTAAGTGGTATGTCCATTTGATTTTTTAAGTTTTTTCCCAGTCCCAACTCAGATCTTCCCAGCCCCATGGATTCTTAAATAAAATATATTAAATATGGTACCCAACATGTCCGCAAACGTTATGTTTGTTGGTTTATAACCCCATCTAACTATAGTTATAATTACTAAACCCTAGTGAAATTGTAGAGTTATAAACCAACTTAGCTACCAAACGGGGGCCACACATTGTAGATATATGGAGGTATCCTTAAAATGGGGGATCCCCGCCACCATGGGTTTCAATACTAAATTGTCTGATGACTTGAATGATTTGGGGTGCCCTCTGCCTTTGAAAACCTCAATTCACATACCATACGAATCCTGTGGTCAATCTTTGATGGTCGACAAAAAATATGTTGTGCTGGTTATGATCTTACTTTCCATCTATAATCAGTAAGAAGGATTAAACTACCCATCCAGTTGGGGATGTTTCATAATCTATATAAAGGATTAGAATTAAACTCGTCGAAGGTTTGAGGATGATCCCACTAAAACACCACTCAAAAACACCATCAATTCTAGACAGCCTTGCCTCCAGCTTCGCCTTCTTGCTCTCTCCGAAGGGATTCGGAAAATTGAGCCTTGAGGTGGCACGAAAACGGGTCACTTAACAGGGCTGAATGTTTTATGGCTTCACCCAGAAAACAACGGATTTCATCTGCAAAATAGGGATTTCACCCACTCAAACATAGGAAACAAATTGGAATTTCAGCAAATTTCAAATGGGGACTTAACCAATCGGTAGAAACATGAATGTTACCAATATAATTTGGGATTTACCTTACCCGCTAACTGACACAACTATGGAAAAACATGAACATACAGTAACATAGATCAATTTGTAGATCATATTAGATCATCGCATATTACACTCTCTTGGCAAAACAACATGTTTGTCTCGTGGCATCTAAGACAACCTTAGGGCTGTGACAATGATACATGGAAATGTCGCAATGATCATGTTCCATCTGACACAACGACTCAATAATGTCCTTTTGGGAAAAATACAGGGGCCGGTTTGGTATACCATCTATCATCATTTACCTGTTGTTAAAGGGGTAAACTAACCCCTTTATTAATCAACCAATCAGTGGGAAAAGGACATCTGACACAACGACTTTTCATGACCTTTCCACATAGAAGTTAGTTTGAGGAGTACATGCCTCTGCAAAGTCGAGTGGTCCAGCAAGAACTGTTTCCTCTGGTAGTTTCACATAGCGGAAAATGACCAATTTATATGGTTTACCCTCTGGTAAACTAACATAACTATGGAAAATCACAATTTTTAAAGGTAAATCAACTCTTAATGGCAATTTTCAATAGCTATGTTAAATTACAAGAGGGTACCCACTACACATAGAGATTTTCCTTAGCCATGTTCAATTACCAGAGGGTAACACAACAACTCAGCAACCACTTGCAGGAAGTCCTTAGTTGTTGAACAAATCGCTACAAGAAGCAACCTCTGGGTGTCAAGCCGTTGTTTCGTTAGGGGTAAGGAAGCGACGCTGCAAATCCGAACTGTCAACGTTGACGACTCGCCAACATGACAGCAAATATATAGATCCGGTCTTTGACCAGCGCCACCAAACAAACAATGGCAAGTTTAATCTGTGACCACGTTCCCTTTTTTGCAGTGATGCTTCTTTGCCGCGATTCCTCACGCTGCTTGTTAACCTGCCTCCCCAAACTTCTCAGGTCAGCCAACTCTTTTTGCACCCTGTCCACAGCGGCTGCTTTCTTCTTCTCCTCCTCTGCTGCTTTGCCGGCCGAAGTGAACCTTCCCCCTCCTCCTTTTCCTCTTCCCATTCCACGCCCCCTGCCACGTGTCAGGCTGCTTGATTGGGCGGCTGTTTTTTCAGTTTCCTGCCCCCTGGAGTATCTGACGGCTCTTGATCTTCATCTTCATCTTCATCGTCATCTTTTCTTTTTCTCTTTTTCCTTTGCCGTCTTTGATCTGTTAATTTTCTTTTTTGTGTTTTGTTTCTTTCTTTACTTTTTTGTCCTTTTTCCCCACATCTTTGTGTGGGGTTCTTGTTTTTGGTTCTGTACCCCGCCGTCCGCCTCCCGTCCGCCTCCCGTCGTCTGCCTCCACACCTTCCACACACACAACTTGTCCTCACACAACTTGCTCACACACCACTTGTCCTCACACATCTTGTCATCACACAACTTGTCCTCACACAACTTGTCCTCACACATCTTGTCATCACACAACTTGCTCACACACAACTTGTCCTCACACAACTTACTCACACACAAATTGTTCACACAGAACTTGTCCTCACACAACTTGCTCACACTAGACAAGAATGGATCATTATATGATCCGGCAGAAACTGAATCCTGAAACATGCAACTGAACCAATCGTAAATGACCAAAAGTAATTCCAGATTGCGACAACAGTGCAGCCAATTGTATAATATTGTGGTTGGGGTTCTGAGCTTGGCCCCTTGCTATGTCCGAAAAAAGCAGGTACGTGACAAAGGCGTCCCTTCGTCATATCACCATTGAAAAGCAGTGTCTTCGTTGGTGGATGACTGCCAGACCATGCATCCACCCCCTGCGTTATTTAGAAAGGGAGAGGACGGAAGGAAGAAAAAGAGAGAAGTTTTACATCTGTTTAGATGTTACGCACACACACACACACCCGGCCAGAGCCGGGTCAACCCAGAAAGGCAAGAGGAAGAAAAAAGCGGACACACGACGGGCAGACGGCCAAAACCAGCGCAGGGGGGGAGGGGAACAGACGGGCCTCCGGAACCAACCTACACGGCGAAACGGACCTGACCAAAACAGCGCACACACCTAAACCCCACGACACATTACGGAGAGGCACGCGGGGAAAATTAGGGACCAAATGGGGGACTAGTTGGTGGCAGACAAGGAAACCAAAACAATTAGTTAAACAACAGGATTCAGTCCCTAATTTCCTAGAGGTCGTGCGATTATTCCCTGCACCGGGACCGTGGTCAAGTCTTGCCCCAATTGGCATAAAACAGCTTTCAAGTTCCATCGAATTAGGTGCACAATATGTTTAACCTCACCAGACAACCATCAAAAGAAAAAGGACCACACCTGGAAAGCATGTGCCTGCCTTTCTGTTGTCACAAATGTTCAAAAGCTGAAGCTGCAGTAAAGAACAGAGTTTCTGATTGTTTCGAACGGCTTCACACTGGCAGACAGGAATCTCGACGAGAAAACCCTGGGACTACAGGAGCAGCGAGACTCTTCGAAAACGGTGGATAACAGTAAGGCCGACAGTTTCGCTTTACTTAAGCGAATTACCATATTAAAATGTGTGAATTCGGAATTCAAGTCAGTCGACATTGACCCCAACTGGGGTTGCCTCAATTGGCCCTATGGCACCATGTCGGAGTCACCATAGGAATCACACTAGACAAGAATGGATCATTATATGATCCGGCAGGAACTGAATCCTGAAACATGCAACTGAACCAATCGTAAATGACCAAAAGTAATTCCAGATTGCGACAACAGTGCAGCCAATTGTATAATATTGTGGTTGGGGTTCTGAGCTTGGCAACTTGCTATGTCCGAAAAAAGCAGATACGTGACAAAGGCGTCCCTTCGTCATATCACCATGGAAAAGCAGTGTCTTCGTTGGTGGATGACTGCCAGACCAGGCATCCACCCCCTGCGTTATTTAGAAAGGGAGAGGACGGAAGGAAGAAAAAGAGAGAAGTTTTACATCTGTTTAGATGTTACACACACACACACCTTGTCCTCACCAACTTGTCCTCACACAACTTGCTCACACACAACTTGTCCTCACACATCTTGTCATCACACAACTTGCTCACACACACAACTTGTCCTCACACAACTTGTCATCACACAATTTGCTCACACAGAACTTGTCCTCACACAACTTGCTCACACACACCTTGTCCTCACCAACTTGTCCTCACACAACTTGTCCTCACACATCTTGTCATCACACAACTTGCACTCACACAACTTGCTCACACACAACTTGTCATCACACAACTTGCACTCACGCAACTTGCTCACACACAACTTGTCCTCACACAACTTGCTCTCCGGCAGGCGTGGCACTTTGAGACATCAACCTGCGTTGCACTTATGGCACTGGGCTGGCTCTAGTGGCGCGCTTGGGTCTCAGTTGACGCCGTGGACGCAGGCGTGGCACTTGGCGACATCCACCTTCACTTTGCGTGGCAGGCGTGGTACTTGATGACATCCACCTTCGCTTTGCGTGGCTGGCGTGGCACTTATGGCACTGGGCCGGCTTTGGTGGCGCGCTTGGTTTTAGGTGTGGCGCTGGGCGCGGCGGCTCTTTTGGCGAGGCAGGCGTGGCACTTGGCGACATCCACCTTCACTTTGCGTGGCAGGCGTGGTACTTGATGACATCCACCTTCACTTTGCGTGGCAGGCGTGGTACTTGATGACATCCACCTTCGCTTTGCGTGGCAGGCGTGGCACTTATGGCACTGGGCCGGCTTTGGTGGCGCGCTTGGTTTTAGGTGTGGCGCTGGGCGCGGCGGCTCTTTTGGCGTGGCAGGCGTGGCACTTGGCGACATCCATCTTCACTTTGCGTGGCAGGTGTGGTACTTGATGACATCCACCTTCGCTTTGCGTGGCAGGCGTGGCACTTATGGCACTGGGCTGGCTCTGGTGGCGCTTGGTTTTAGGTGTGGCGCTGGGCGCGGCGGCTCTTTTGGCGTGGCAGGCGTGGCACTTGGCGACATCCATCTTCACTTTGCGTGGCAGGTGTGGTACTTGATGACATCCACCTTCGCTTTGCGTGGCAGGCGTGGCACTTATGGCACTGGGCTGGCTCTGGTGGCGCGCTTGGGTCTCAGTTGACGCCGTGGACGCCGCGGCTTTTGGCGTGGCAGGCGTGGCACTTGGTGACATGGATCGTCACTTTGCGTGGCAGGCGTGGCACTTATGGCACAGTGGTGTCCCAGCACGACTTTGATCAGCCACCAGAACTAATCCCTTCTTCCTATTACTATAACTCCCCCAAATAAAAAATAGGATTGGTGTGGCACTTCCGTTCTTTTTTGGTTGGGCACAATTGGATTCTTAATTGTGGTAACTGAGAATCAATGAGAACAGGATGGTGAACCAATGGGTTCAACCCCCTATTAATAAAAATAGATTGCCACCTGGAGGTTTCTTATTAGGGTCGCATCGTATCTGACAAGCTTTATTGTTCATCCTTATTTTAAAGGTTTTCGTTGGAATATTAGGGGAAAACTTCGAAATCTAGTTTTTGGAAATATTTTATACAGATTTTAATAAGGGATTCAATCAAATTTGAAATCATTTTTTATTATTATTAGGGTCTTTAATTGGAATATTAGGGGCGCCCTAATACAAAATACCACCTAATAATAAACATATATCACCGTGTTTACCATTTGTGGGGGTGTTTTAGTAGTAGGGAGAGAGGATTAGTTTGCTATGGAAGCCATGGCCCATAGCTAGTTCGATGATCTTCCTATTCCATTTATTTCGATACATACAAAGTGGGACCCCCAAGATAGCTAAGTTGGCTCATAACTACAATAACTAGGGCTTTATGGTAGTTATAACTATACTTAGATGGGCTTTTAAACCAATAAACATAACGTTTGGGGGGCCCACATTGTAGATGTTCAATGCATGTGAATCCATACTTGAAGAAGGATCACCCAAAAAAGAAATGCTTAGTAACCATAGTTCAGCCACTAAAAATGTGGTATAACCCATCTATGGGTATTATAACCATAGTTCAGCTACGAATGGGGACTTACGATTACAAGGGCTAGGAAAACCAGTGACGACAATCGTGGGCTGAGCCTCCACCATTGATACCACCATCATCCCAATGCTGATCGCCAAATGGCAATCCTCCCCCCATCTCTGGCCAATCTGAACGATACCTAATATAGTTCGAAATGTGAACTATACTTATTAAGATACCATATCTTAATTATGTGACTAGTTATAACATAGCCAAACTTAGATGCCATGCAAAAAATGAAAATTCTTAGCTGGTGAACGTAGATAATCCCACTACCAAGTCAGGCTAGCTGGGATTAGTTTCTAGCCATCTAAGATTGACCTTCATCTGTCGTGCTCCCGTTTCGTGCAGAAATGCTGGTTAACATTCATATTCCTGTCGAGAGCCGTAGGTGAACGAGCGGTAAAATAAGGATCAAATGGTGGCCAAATCAGAGCAAATCAAATCATATTAAAGTCGATGGCAAATATAGACACATTAGAGACAAATACCCTGTGGTAAACATACAAAAACTATGGAAAGATCAACTTAATTTTATAGCTGGGTAAATCCACGATTTCAAAAAGGCATTTTCAATAGCGAACTGTTAGTCTACCAGAGGGTAAATGGTGGTAGATTGTGTGTGATACTTCAAGGGGCTACTAAGTGTCAATTGTGTCAGATTTGATGGGATTTACTGGTGTTTGATGGTACTTGGTGCTATTCGATATATCATTTTCCATATGCAATATCATATACCTATTGATGTCGGTGTCCACCCAATTACACCCAACATTTCCCCCAATTATCCCAACGTTTCCCCAATCATTCCATACCCAACATTTCCATACATTACAATTACGTTTCCCCCAAGTTAAATGTCTTAACTTCCCCATTGTTTAAGCTACAAAGTGGAGCCCCCTAGTTGTGTTTGTTGGTTTATAAACCCCATGAATACTGTAGATATATCTACCATAAACCATACATAACCTAGGCAAATAAACCCACTTAGCTATCATAAATCAGCTATAAATCCCATTAATCCCCAATCTTAGTTGATTAAATCCGCATTTTCCCATGGTTTAACCACGCCCCACATTGCACGATCCCCAAAGTTTGACCCCAGCGACCCGCAGCTCTGACCACCGTTGCAAGTCATTCCTGACTGGGCGTAGTCTCTCCCTTCAGCTGGGGAAAACATCAATGCTATGGTTCCACAATGTGGGGACCCCTTTCGATAGCGTTCAGTGGGGCCGAATAACTCCAATTTCACCAGCGTTTGTGGTAGTTATAACTATAGCTAATTGGGTTATAAACCAACTTATAACTAGGGGGCCCCACATTGTATGATGAATCTCCCATTCAATCAACTGTTGATACCATGAATACTCGGTAGTTCTGAAATTTGTGGAAATAAAGTCTTCAAACATCAGAACCTGCTTTGGAAAGACCATGCAACGACTGGCGATGTGGAAGCAACAAGTCGAGAAGCGGGATAGCTCAACATTCCAGAATACCAAAGAGATGGACAAATCAAGTGCTGGATTTGAATTGTTGGGCGACCACAAGAAGTCGAAATCAGGCGAGATGAACAAGTTAACAATTCTTGTGCGGTGCCATAAATTTCCTCTCACCTTTGATGTAATTCTCCATATAGGTCGGTCTGAAATTATATCGTACCCCCAAATCCACTGGGGTTCACCATCACGTTCCCATTGACATGGCCACAATAGCAAACAATAGCGCGCTGTATCACAAAATGTTCAGAGATACCCCCTGGTTATTTGTTACATAGCCATGGAAAATTTTCCCATTTATAGATGATTTTCCCAGCTAGAAACCTCCATTTATCAGGGTTTTCCATGGCTATGTTAAATAACCACATGGTGGTACCCAAAAAAACGAAAACTCTGGCTCCCTAGTCCCGCTCAACTCAATCATGTCCAAAACAAAACAATAACTTTGAATTGCCATAGCAAGACCTCAATTCCCATGGCAACCCTCAATATACCATCACAGGATATTTTCAGCTTGATAGTAATATTATTTTGTTTCTGGCAAAAAAACGAACTAGTCGTTTATCATTTGATGTTTCAATCCCTATAATGTTGATGGTTAAACTCCGGGTCTTGAAGGTTAACCCCTACCAAAACAATTTTTATCCAGAAAGGAATTCCCCCCACCCCGTGTTTGTTGTTAAAATCCTTGTTGCACCTCGTGAGATGTGTCGTGATATCATATCATATCAAAACAAAGAAAATACTCTATGATATCCCTCAGAAAGATCTTGCGAACATATCATACTCAAGATTTCAGGATGATTCTATTGTTATTGATCTCTTTGGCTTTGGGTCTTACTTAATGCATATCCCAGACCTGAAGAATCATCCCACTCAGCGGCAGCGGCCGGACTAGCTATGGTTACTATGGTCACTACAATGTGGGGCTCCCGTTTGATAGCTAAGTTGGGCCCAATAACTGCAATTTCACGTTTGGGTTTATGGTAGTTAAAACAAATTGGTTAGATGAGGTTATAAACCAACAAAAAAAAAACGTTTCCGGGCCCCACCTTGATAATGTTAAAAACTATGGTTACCTATATTTCGGACGAACTACTATGGTTAGTAACTACTTATGGTGACTAACTATGGCTACAAACTAACTATGGTTACTAACTAACTACGATTACTAACTTTGGCTACTAGCTAACTATTGATACTAACTATGGTTACAAACTAACTATGGTTACTAACTATGGTTACTAACTATGGTCACTAACTATGGTTACTAACTATGGTTACTAACTATGGTTGCTAACTAGCTAACTATGATTACTAACTATGGCTACCAACTATAGTTACTAACTATGGTTACTAACTAAGGTTGCTAACTATGGTTACTAACTATAATTGCCAACTATAGTTACTAACTATAGTCACTAACTTTGGCTACTAACTATGGATGCTAACTATGGTTACTAACTATGGTTACCAACTATAGTCACTAACTATGGTTGCTAACGATGGTTTCTAACTTTGTGTACCAACTTTAGTTACTAACTATGGTTACTAACTATGGTTGCTCACTATGGTTACTAACTATGGTTACCAACTATAGTTACTAACTATGGTTGCTAACTGCGGTTTCAAACTCACTATGGTTACTAACTATGAGTAATAACTATGATAACTAACTATGGTTACTAACTATGGTTATCAACTATAATTACTAACTATGGTTACTCACTATGGTTACTTACTTTGGTTTCAATCTCACTATTGTTACTAACTATGGTTACTAACCATGGTTGCTAACTATGGTTACTAACTATGGTTACTAACTATGGTTACAAACTGTGGTTACTAACTATTGTTGCTAACTATGGTTACTAAACTATGGCTACTAACTATGGATACTAACTATGGTTACTAACTATGGTTACTAACTTTGGTTCCGAACTATGGTTACTAACTATGGTTAGTAACCATAGTTACTAACTATGATTTCAATCTCACTATGGTTACTAACTATGGTTACTAACTATGGTTGCTAACTATGGTTACTAACTATGATTACTAACTAAGGTTACCTCTATGATTACAAACTATGGTTGCTAACTATGGTTGCAAACTCACTATGGTTACTAACTATGATTACCTCTATGGTTGCAAACTATGGTTACTAGGAATGGTTGCAAGCTCACACTATGGTTCCTAACTATGATTGTCATCTATGATTACTCAGAATGGTTACCTCTATGATTACAAACTATGGTTACTTCAGTGATGATTCCTGGGGTGATCCTTCAAGCATCTCCCTGGCGGAATGAAACGGTGAACCGTCGTCCTCCCTGGCACTGGCAGTAGCCATAGGCTGGCGGCGCAAAGGGGTTGATGTTGATCTGTGCAGTGCACATGGCTCCTGCAACAGAAAATTGAAATGGCCACCACTTGATTTCTATGGGCATCTAATGATCTAACATTGTATGATATATACCATTTACACCTAATGATATACCTAAAAAAAATACAGTAATTTGTACATTTACATATACCGAATTTGTTGCCATTTGCATATACGTAAACCCCCAAATCAGGATATGATAGGCATCTAATGGGCCGACCATTTACAGACCCATTTTATGGTAAGTAAAACCACAACATTTTCACTGGAATAATGAGGAGAATATAAAGTCACCTATATATATATGTCATATGTATGTATAATTGTTTATAGTTATATATTTTTTACCATTGCACCATTACAACTTCATTTAATACACCCAAACATTGCTTGGTTGGTTCTTAACTTGCCAAACGTTTCACTTCCAATTAGTTATGTATAAATACTCAGCATCCCCAAAAAGGTCAAAGAAAAGGGATTGGCTATGAACCACCAGGTTTAACTGTGGAAACATACCCATCATTTCTCATTTTAATCATTTTTATGATGTCAACCATCCAAGGTGCAGGATGTCTTCCACCCACCGGGAACAAACGTTTTGAACCCGCCTATTGGGCAGCCAGTCTCGAAGGCCTTCATGGGATTCGGTGGATTCCTCGCCAGCCAAGAGTGAGTGCCCCATACCTAGCTGTTGGTTTAGTTCACTAAATATGGTTCATGGTCGATATTAATGGTTGAACTAGTTGATCTATATACATAGTGGATGCTGTAAACCAACACGGAGTAGTAGTAGTAGTAGTAGTAGTAGTAGTAATAGTAGTAGTAGTAGTAGTAGGAGTAGTAGGAGTAGTAGGAGTAGTAGTAGTAGTAGTTGTTGTTGTTGTCGTCATCGTAATTGTAGATGAAACGTAGTGTACTGTAATTAGCATTGTGTAGCGTAATGTAGTTGCAATTGTAGTTGTAATTGTAGTTGTAGTGTAGTGGTAGTTGTAGTTGTAGTTGTCTATCTATCTATCTGCAAGCTTGAAAATGAAGCTATTCTGCCAGACTTCCTCAGTTTTTGAACTTGACAACATCAAAAACGCTGCAATTCTGCGAGATGTCCTCAACTTGACAACGTCAAAACCGAAACAAATCTTCGAGGCTTCCTCAATTTTTTAAGTTGGCAACATCAAAAACAAAGTAATTCTGCGAGACTTCCTTCAAACATGGAAAGCTGAGTGCAGAGCTTGCGGCCTCGTACCATTGCGTCTTACGATTTGTCCACTCCACCTGTCTAAAGTACCACGCTTTCCACGAAAAAGTGATGCCAGTTCATACGAAGTGCTGCACCTGTCATGCAAATTCATCTTAGCAAACCTACAGATCTGATGCTCCAAAATGCAGCCCCTCTCAGGAAATCAGCGCCAGGACCTCCTAACAGCTCTGATGAACATGCCTCTTGTATTGCGGCTGCCAGAGAAATTGCATCTTTGCAGATCCTCTGCAAATGTCCCACGCCTGCCATCGTTTTTGGAAATGCTACAAAACCTTACGTTTTGCTCACTTTTGGCAAGGTGCAGAATCCCTTGCACGTACCAAGACCACATCTGAACCTTCAAAAGTGGTCCGCGCATGGTGTGTTTTATACATTTTGACTTGGAAATGTGCTTCGCGCCACAACGGCGTGCACTTTTTCGACGGCTCAACTTCCAAAAGTGGTCCGGAGCTGGTGTGCTTTGTACATTTTGACTTCGACATGTGCTTCGCGCCACAATGGCGTGCACTTTTTCAACATCACAACTTCCAAAAGTGGTCCGAGCATGGCGTGCTTCGTGCATGTTGACTTGGAAATCTGCTTCGCGCCACAACAGCGTCCACTTTTTCATCATCTCAACGTCCAAGTGGTCTGGGACAGTCAGTTTTTTTACACTTTTGACTTGGAAATGTGCTTCGAGCCACATCGGCGTGCACTTTTTCGACATCTCAACTTCCAAAAGTGGTCCAACGTTGGTGTGTTTTATACATTTTGACTTGGACATGTGCTTCGCGCCACAACGGCGTGCAAGTTTTCATCTCTCATCTGGTCAGATGGCTCCGCACCCACTGCTTTAGCGAGCCTACTTTTCGACCCTCCGCAGACACAAATCCCACCTTTTCGCGCACCTGCATCTTCTTTCTTCTCACTCTTTTTCTCTTCCCTGATCTTCTCTCTCCGTCTCTTCTCTTCTCTGACTGCTCCCACCTCTGCTTTTCCATCTGTCCATATTGTCGGAAGTTTGACTTCTAAACTTCCTTCGATTATAAATATATATATATATTATATACATTCACAAATATTCCCAACGTGTATGATACCCTCTATGTGTACTGTATACCCTCCGGTAAACTAACAGCATGGCATGTAAGTCACGATTGTGAATAGATCAATCATCAAACTAAGATCACATGTTCCTTTGCAATATTAGTTTACTGGAGGGTATCTGATTATGTATTATACACCCATGATCCTATGTAAAACGTAAAATAGTCCATTAAAACTAGCCCTATTCCATCTCATTCTACTGGTTGCTTGATAAGCTTCCCTACTATGGGTTAGCGCGTCAGAATCCCCAATAAATCTGGGCAAGTTATAATAATTCACTAACCTGAAATAAGGCCATTTTGGGATGATTCCCCTTACCAACCATGATTCCAGTGAGGTCGCAGTGAAGCCGTTATAATTTACCCAGATAAATCAAGCAGTGCAAGGTTTTATACCAGATTCACCCATCATTCATACCGGGATCGGAGAACATGTTGGACACTTTTCAATAGAGGTATGGATTCCAACCATTGGGTTTAAGTATAGTGTGATACTCAAGTTGGAAATTAATGGAGTTTAACTATAACTAGTTTATATATATATATGGGAATAAATGGTTGAGGATGGAAACCAATAAATGGTATATGACCATATGTTCCCCATAAAACCCTTAGCAAGTGATGTTCACGCATAGTCTTCATCTAAGTGAACTAAACTATCTCATCAAACTATGGGGCACCACCTTACACCGTTGTACTCCATATCCCAATTCTACCGTCATAACATCCAAGTTCTTGATTGTTGAATTGCGATGTCATCCGAATGCAAACGCCAACTAATGTGAACTACAGACTGAGATACTAATCCTCTCTCCCCATGACTAAAACGCACCCCCCCAAACAGTAAACAAGGTGGTCTATTTTCATTATTAGGTGGTATTTTGTATTAGGGTGCCCCGTAGGTTCCAATGAAAACCCTAATAATAATAAAAAACAATTTCAAAATTGATTATATAAATCCTCTATTAAACTCTAAAATCTAAATAAAACATTGCCCAAAACTGGATTTTGAAGCTTTCCCCTAATATTCCGATGAAAACCTTAATAATAGAAATGCATAGTAAAACTTGTGAGATGGGACCCTAATAAAAAGCATCCAGGTGGCAATCTATTTGTATTAATAGGGGGTTGAACCCATTGTTTCACCATCCTATTCTCCTATTGATTCTCAATTACCACAATTAAGAATCCAATTGTGCCCAACCAAAAAAGGGAAGTGCCACACCAAGCCTTTTTTCTCTATTTGGGGGGTTTAGTAATAGGAAGAAGGGATTACATTATTTCACTAGCCTGAAATAAGGATCAATAAGGCGGCTTTTTTGGGGATGATTGCCATATATATATATGGAAATTTCTTTAAATGGGAGTACCCCTAAATCATCCATTTTAATAGGATGTTCCATGAAATAAACCATCAATTTTTGGGTATTCTCCATTTATGGAAACCCCTACAAGGTGGGGCCCCATACTTCGCAAAGTTAGTTCATAAGTTCAATAGTTTGGGTTTATGGTAGTTATAACTCTATTTTGATGGGATTGTATACCAACTGATAACTGGCGGGCCCCACATAGCCCCACATTGTATGAACATTCACCATGATTCCAGGCTGTCCAAGACTCGTACAGGTGACCCCACGCTCAAAGCAACAGGACTTGTCCTTAGGCGGGCCAAGGATGGAGTTTGAAACCGCTGGATAAATGGCTTTAAACAACGAAGATGGGGATTACCCTAGGAAAATGGCGATTTAACTGATTCAACCAACCAAAATTATGTGATTTTTCATGGGATTGATTCTATGTTTGATACATCCGATTTACAAACTAACTTATAACTCTGGGGCCCAAATGGAAACATTCAACATTGGGAATGAACAATAGCAAATGGGAGATTTGACATAAGGACTTTGCGGCCATGTCTATGAAAACCAGGGCTGTGTCAAGGTGCTGGGAAGCTACTGTAGCTCCTCACGACACTGGTCGCCTGCGGCCTGTATGTTTTTTTATACAAGGACCCCTTATACCTTTTGTCGAAACGACACATTGCAAAAACATGCGAAAATGCAAACATGTGGCTGGAATCTCTCTTGCCACTTCCAGATTTGTTACCAGGCATATATCATGGCCAATCTTAGATAAATCAAAAAACGGGGTTTTGTTTTGAGCGGTGTGGAAAATCAATATCATATGTCCCACAATCTATAACAAACAGCTTTTCACTGACCCAGAAAAAATAGTTAGCCTCCGCCAAACTAGATATACCGAAATCCACAAAGATAGAAAACAAACTCCTGCTGGAGTAGTGGTAAATTACCTCTCTGTCTTTTTCGTGGTCACTTAATTTGGAAACCCATAACTTTTCCCCGGGAATGAGTTTATACCCATCTCATCCCATCCCATCAGCTCTAGTACGAGGTGCACCTCAGTTTGTTAGCTAAGTTGGTATGTAACTAATGTAACAAATATAACTAGGGTTAATGGTACAATGTGGGGCCCGCTAGTTATAACTTGGTTTATAACCCCATCTAACTATAGTTATCATTACCATAAACCCTAGTTATTGCAGTTATAAACCAACTTAGCTATCTTGGGGGCCCCACATTGTAGATATATGGGGGTATCCTAAAAACGGGGGATCCCCAAAACCACGGGTTTCAGTACTAAAAAGGACTAATTCTGGATGATTTGGGAGTAACCCCATTTCAAGAAACCTCTAATGGGGTGCATGAACCAACAAACACAACTGGGGAGGGACCACCTTGTGATTGCCTAAAATACGATCAAAACCTCTTCACCTGAACAAGGGTAGTTCCCATCCAACCAAGTAACATAGATCCTGAGAATCTGAGAATCAGTCATTCCAGAAGGAAGGTAATCTTCCAACTCCCAACTTGTCATTGTGATTTCTTTATCTAATAATGTACCGAATTGGTATCATCGAACCATGAAATCATTGAATCATTGACGTAAAATTGATCATTTATCTCCTTCGCATCTACCCTAGGCATTTCTCGGTTTGCTATCTAAAATCACCATTTTGAAGAACTAAATCATCATAAATCATCTATTTCTATGTGCCATGTTCCATGGCAAAATGTTGTATAATGTTAAATAACCAGAGGGTAACTCTTGACATTCATGGCAGTGCCGCCAATTTTTAGTTGGATTCTATACCTCAGAGGTGGGTATATCATTATTTTTGGTGTTTGTTGATTTATAAATCCATTAATTACAAAGTGGGGCACCCAAGATAGGCTAGTTGGGCCAAATAAGTACAAAAACCAGGGTTTATGGTAGTTATAACTCTAGTTAGATTGGATTATAAGCCAACCTATAACCAGGGGGGCCCACATTGTAGTTCGATAGACCTACCTTCAAGCCAGCATCTACCCTAGTTATGCTTATACGAACTTATCTATAATCAGCTGGTAGGCTTTATGGTAAAATGATGTAAAAAGCACAAGAATTTGGTGGCTTTTCCTGCCCAACTTTGCGGTATCCAGATTAATTCCACCAATACTTGTGTTGCTTAACACACCATTCTTCATTGTTTAAGATACCCTTTGAATCAAAAAATAATTGTTAAAAACCAAATACATGTAATACTTAGTGCTAGCTGAAAGAAAATATTATATTCCATTATGCGAATAATTTTGTTGCTTGAAACCTTACCTTTGATGTTAAACCTCATGCATTACCTGAGCAGCCATCCGCATCTCATCCCAGTATATCTCCATTGAACCCATTATATCCCAATACGTATATTCACAGAGACATACACACACACGTATATACATATATATATATATATGTAATATAAGACTGGCAACTCCACTATAGCATAATTTTTCTTAATTAATTCAATCAATCCCCATTTGTGCTGCTTCAATTCCCCCAAATCACTTGTAAGCCAGCCATTTCTCATAGCTTTCCTGGGGCATTTTTGGGTTGTACTGGCGCCGCCAAGTTTCACCACCTCCTCTGATAGGATCGCATTGACCCAAACTGATGGTGAAGTTGTTGCTATTCAACTCCTGAAAGCGTGATCGGTGGTAGATGTGGGATATTATGGGAATAGAATGATTTAACCACCAAATATTTGGTTTTAATGTATTTTATTCATGATATTTTATTATCGTCTGGCTATTGGTTGTTGAATGGGAATGGGAATCATCTATCATTTTAACAAACCAAACAGTAGGAAAAGGATAAAGATGGTGGCAGCATCTGGGGATGGCTGAGATATTGAACTCAAATTTGCTCAAGAATCGAATCACATCAAATCTATCATAATTTACAATGTGAGGCCCCCGTTTGATAGCTAAGTTGGTTTATAACTCCAATAACTATGGTTTATGGTACTTATAACTATAGTTACTGGTGCTTATAAACCAACTTATAAATGGGGGGCCTCACATTGTATCGATATATCGACTCGACATCCACTGTGGGCCCCCAAACCATCGAGAAGTTGGCAAACAAGTGGGCCAACTTCTGGTAGATATATCGAACTACTGGTGATGGTTTTGAAGTCCTGCGCCAGTTGGTATATGGGCAAAAAACCATTGTAATCCCCAAAAAATGTCCCAGTATTTCATAGGAATCCCTAACGCTTGCCAACTGATGCAAGATTTTTGCACCACCTCGCATCACGAAACTTGGCAGATCTGACTGGCTGCCACTGACTGTCACTGGCAGCTTCAACTGATTGGTGGTTTTAACTCTGAAACACTCAACAAAGAAATGAATATTGTAATTGATTGTAATTAATGACAATTTACATGGGGTTGCTTATCATCCAAATGCTGTCACAACTGGTACATTGCAAGAGAGTAACATCACTTGCCAAATCTCAACCTAAAAGGGGAAACGCCACGTCACATTGTGCCCAAAAAACAGCACTTACACGGCTCGCTGTGGTACCCAAGCATTTCACTGACCTTTGTCAAGCCCTCGAACAATGCGAGTGTTGTAGCGGCCAATTGGTACTGCAGGATGCCATGGCGGGCTCTGTCAACTGAGGGGCCTGGTCAAGGAAGGCCGCCGAAGTCAACCTGTGAAATTCACAGGATCTCTTTGGCCCTGACCGCTCTCATTGACACATCCCGCAAGTCTGCGCCATGTGCCATGTGAGATGCAATTGGCAAACGCCAGTCTGCACTGTCGTTCCTGGATGGCCCAGTAGAGCCATAGCCCAAAGAATTGGCCATGCCATGGCTATCTGCTGTTGTGAAGTTCTTTGTTGTGTCCCTCCGTGGTCCTCCTTGACTGTCCAAACCGCCCAATCTTGCTGTTGCTGTTGTTGTTGCTGTTTAACTGTTTGTTGTTCCCTTGTTGGCGTTGTTGTTGTTGTTGTTGTTGCTGTTGTTGTTGTTGCTGTTGGTCATATATTCCCACTATCGTTGGTTATATCGAAAACTATATCTGTTTATTCCATGTTTTCCCTGGTTGTACCCATCATTTGGAAAAGAACCAACACCAGTTCCATTCAAAATGATTGCTCAACCCGGTTAAAACTATCTGTTTTTGTTTGAGATTCTCAGAGATAACCCACATTGTTGATGCAACATCTTTGCTGATTCTCATTTTGTCATAAAATACATGCGGATTTGAAAATGATAAAACTATCTGTTAATCACTGTTTATCCACATGTAACAGTGATACATCTTTCTTATGCATACAGGCTATGTTTTTTTTGTCCCAATGGGTGGTGATCTCCATCCGGGGCTCGTCCTTGGCAATCCGGACACGCGCTTCCTGCTCAGTTTCCAGGCCCACTTTAGCCTGTGTCATTGGCGATGAAACCCAAAGACTGAGGTTTACCCGGCTTGATAAACATACAAAAATCTATGGAAAATCACCATGATCACCATGTTTAATGGCTAAATCAACGATTTCTGTGGCCATTTTCAATAGCTATGTAACAGTTTACCAGCGGTTTACATACCCCCTTTTGTTACTTAGTAGCACTATGCCATGATCCTCCCATAAGAATATAGAAATTCAGAGACATTTCGACCCATCCAATCTTGTGCCAAGTCCTCTCTTAGTCAAGGTCAGTCCTTCCAAATGGGAATGGGGTGGATTGAAAACATGTGTATGGAGATCTATATATATATATATATCAATTCTATCTATACATACATCTACAATCATTTAAAATCATCTACACATGCATAGACACAGACATTCATGTATACCTCTTGCCGGTGCTTAACAAAAACACAGCTCTTGCCATGCCTCCGTCACCTTTGCCGAGCTTTCAATCGCTCCGAGATCTTTTTGGGACGCCTCCTGTCCAGGGTTTTTGAGGGAGTGGAGTTTGGAGGTAAATCTACCGAGAGAATGAGAATGTGGAGTGCAGAACGTGGCGTTGTGGACATCAAAATTCACTTTGAAAGTTGATAGATGTCTTCTATACAAAACATAATCAAACATAATCAAACCATCATTATAGCATCATCTGGAAGATCAGAATTAACCAAACTAAATACAGGAACACTTTCTACCGCTAGCCCAGACTCGGACGTGAGGGCATTTGCGATTATAATCCATAGGAAAATATCTACAAGGTGGGCCCCCAAACAAGCGGGCCGCTGAACGGAGTGGGCGCGGCCAACGCGTTCCGAATCGGGCTCTTGTTGGTATCGAGCTTCGCTGTCTCGCAGGGCGAGCCGATCATGGTTGCAGCGATCCAACCTTTTTCGTAGCAGCTCATCAAATGGGACCACGAAATTGTGCAGGTTTCCGTAGTACTGCGACAGTGCTGTGTTCATTGATAGAATTGTCACAGCCACATTGCGCCTGCGCGCCCAGTCTTCCAGGTGATAATGCACGTCTCCTGTTCATCTTCTTCCTGAAAGAACACCATAGTTAACCCCAACCATATAGACTATATGGTTTGTGGTGGATATGTGGAACTTGAAGATTTGGAGGTTCACCAAAACCCTGTATCCCAACGATTTTGCAGCATTTGGACTGGCTGCATCCGGCAATATGGAAAAACACCCCGAAGAAGGGACCTTTCACATAGATAGATCTACAAAACAGTCTACTGAATCTCAGGAATGGACTGTGTGAATTGGGCTGTCAACTATTCACCTACAATGTTGGCACCCATGGTTGAAAGATGCATGATGTTCAAACATCTAACTATTTACATTATACATATATATATACGTATATTCTATAACACATCATATAGTATATCTACCATAAACCCTAGTTGTTGTTGAAGTATGTTGCAGTTAGAAGGCCGTTCAACTATCAATCCCCATTTTTGATGGCTAAATTTGGATTTTTCGTGGTGAAATCAAATCCCAATTTCCCACCATTTTAGATGGTTACTTGGTGGTTCATCTCACTTAGTAAGTAGCTTACAAGGCCGGCTATATGTGGGAGAAGTGTATTAAGCCATGGATCGTGGGATAAGTTGATAACTACTTGGTGGTCATCCCGTGGATCGTAGCTGGTTAGTTCACCCCAGGCACATACGTGGACCACAACCCTGCACAAATCCCACAAACCCAGGCATATATGTGCCATCGTCAAAACATTGGTTTTGTGGGCTATGGTCATCCATCCTATATTGGGAATCATTACAATGGGTATATTAAGCCCTATTGATGGGTGTATGACCATCCCCTTCTATGAGAAAACAAACCATGTTTTGTCCACGGCATATATAACTTTATAACCTACATACGCGAGCCGCGATGAGCCACGTCCCGCTGGCTAAGTGCTCACCTTGGGCTCATCCTTCGACTCCCCAAAGGGAAAGGATGGCATCCTGAAGGAAAATTCATTGGTTCCCGGTGGACTACTGGGTGGTTTATCCCACTTCTGGTCAATAGAAAAAACTGTGATATATAGTGATATATATATATATATCATATAAAATATATAATATATGATATTTCAGATATAATATATAATATATATTATTTAATTATATATAATATAAAATTTAAAATATAACATTTAAAATATATGAAATATAATAAAAATATAATATGTAATAAATAATATATGATAATAAAAATATAATATGTAATAAATAATATATGATACAAAATATAAAAAATATAATATATAATATATATATAATATATATATATATATCATGTAATAAACATATAAATATATAACATACATAATAATATATCAGATAATAAATATAATATTTTAAATAAATATATAATATATATTAATATATAATACATATATATATATATTATTTATATATTTATTATATGATATATATATATAACCTAGGGTTGACAAGCGGTTAACCTCGGGATATAGAACAACTAGGGTGACAAAAAACCAACTACTTGGTGGCTGATCCCACTTAGTAAATAGGTTATAATTTATAGCCCTAGTTGTAAGTAGATTAACCCTATCCAACTTGTAACTCACGATATAAGCCACTTCGTAAGTGGGATGAGCCACCAAGTAGAATTCATTATAAATGGGCTGAGTAGTACACTTACAATCCCAAGCATTGGTGATTACCATCTGGTAAACTAAGAGTTTGCTATGATACCCTCTGGTAATTTAACATAGCTATTGAAAATCACCATTTTTAATGGGTAAATGAGCTATAAACGGCAATTTTCAATAGCTATGTAACAGTTTACCAGAGGGTAATCACTGGTTGGTGGTGCAATAACCATCTTTAAAAATGATGGAGTTCGTCAATGGGAAGGATTAAACCGCCAACCAGATCACCATTTGTAACTGCGATTTCTATTTCTATGGGCCATCTATACCATGCAATATGGCTATGTTAGTTTACTGGTGGATGATCATGTGGGAAAATATAGTTTAAACAAATCTTCGGCGCATGCCAGGTTGGGTCCAGAACTCAGAACCCCGCAAAGTGGTCGATGAAAATCCCACAGCATTATCATTACCCGCCGGTGATGAACCATAGCATTGGAACATCCTGACTTTCCTCAGCTATACATCTCCATTGATCAGGGATTTTCCACCTAGCTAGGTTTGATGATACCAAAAGGTAAGCCCAATATGTGTGGAACTGTCGGATTTTGACCGGCAGGCATGTTTAGATATACCATGATAATCCATGATATACCCCAATTTTCATGGCCAACAAGCCAGCACTTGAGCCCAGGGACCCACAGCTTTGACCACCTTCGCAAGGAGATCCTGGCAGATGAAGGAAAAATTTCATGGTGGACCATCCCTAAGTTTACCAATTGGAAGTCTACAATATAAGTAGATGATATATCATATGTATATGAAAAGTCCACATGTACTGATTTATGTTCCAATATACTTATATGTACTTACATCTAATATTTATCATAAACATCTACAATATATGATATAATATATGAATGATATAGATTGTCCAATCGTTTTGGTTTGGGAAATGGGGTAGATTTTAGAGATTTGTTCTGAATTGAATAGGGTCTGTTGCCTCTGTGAACCATAGATTTTTTTTTATTTTACTGGTTGGTTGCTGACGGGATTCGCCTCATCAACTGTGATTTTTCCCTATTGGTTTGTGTAATCCCGTCTAGTCATCATTGATGACTATGGGTTCTTTTAGTTGTAGATATTGCAGTACATTCTGCAAAGAACCTATCAAATGAATAGGGTAAGAAAGGGTTTGTATGATTCAACCAACAAAAGTTTCGAACACTTCTCAATTGGATTAACCTCTGGTAAACCGCTACATAGCTATTGAAAATGGCTATGTATAGTTGATTTACCCCTTAGAAATTGTGATTTTCCATAGTTCTTTTGTATGTTTACCAGAGGGTAATCTACCTGAACAATCCAAAAAGGTCATGATAAATCCATTCTTTGGATGCCCTCTGTGCACACTTTGCACTGCAGGGCTGTGGAAAATTGTCACTGCCCTCGGGTATTTTTTTCTCGAGTCTGCTAGTCACCCTTGTGAATTAGGTGAATCATCAAACTAAATGGGCCATTTTCCATACAGGGTGGGACCCCCCTACATAGCTAACTTGCTTTGCAAGTAGGATAACTATGGTTTATGCATGTTTATGCGAGGTATATCGCACTAGTTTATGGGGTTTATAAACCAACAAATAAATTCATTTTCCACAGAATGAAAAAATGTTGGCTTATAAACACCATTAAAGTATAGACATTTTGAGCTGTTTATTTGTTGGTTTGTGAAACCCACTAGTTTCCGTAGAATGAAACACTTGAATCCCCATTAAAACACCATTAAATCACCATTAAGTCACGAATTGTCTTGGTGAAATCCCATTAAAACAGCATAGCAAACTCTTATACCACCATTTTCCTATGGTTTCCCTGTGGTTTTCCCATGGTTTTCCTATGGAGAACCGTTACCATTCACGGCGGCGGCCATCTCCCGTCCTCCCTGACATTGGCAGTAGCCATAGGAGGGCGGAGCAAAAGGATTCACGTTCAACGGGGCAGTGCACAAGGCGCCTGGAGAGCGTCAACCAGCGAAGCCTGGTGAAACATAGGATCCATAGGGAAACCATAGGGAAAATGGCGGTTTCGCCATGAAAAATGGTCAAACTATTGGGATTTTGGTGGCTGATATGTGCGTTCAGTTGGGCCGTTTATAACTCCAATTTCACTAGTTTGGGTTTATGGTAGATATATAGTTAATGGGGTGTATAGAGCAACTTATAACTGAGGGGCACCATCCTGTAGCCAAGTAGCCATAACATAACCATTTTGGTCTTAGAAGTTTCAACAGACCATGGCCTCAAACAACCAAACATGATCTTGATTCAGTGCCAACTATAACTTATGAGAAATCCATATGTATATATATATATATAGATGATAATAGATGAAAACAATATTATAGATGATAAATCCATGTATCATCTGGCTATTTGACATAGCGAAGTGGCAAATCCCTTATAAATGGCGGTTTCTAGCTGGGAAAATCATTCTTAAACAAAATCCTGGTTGGTGGTTGAGCCTTATGAAATTCCCAACTGAATAAACAAATAAAAAGTGTTCCAAACCACCAACTAAAAACCTAAAACCACATACCATCTAATTATTTAATATAGCGAAGTGGAAATTCCCTTATAAATGGCGGTTTCTAGCTGGGAAAATCATTCTTAAACAAAATCCTGGTTGGTGGTTGAGCCTTATGATCCCAATTGAATAGACAAACAAAAAGTGTTCCAAACCACCAACCATAAAACCTAAAACCACATACCATCTGGTTATTTAATATAGCGAAGTGGAAAACCCCTTATAAATGGAGGTTTCTAGCTGGGAAAATCATCTATAAACAAGATCCTGGTTGGTGGTTGAGCCTACCCCTCTGAAACATATGAAAGTCAGTTGGGATTATGAAATTCCCAACTGAATGGGAAAAACGTTCCCAACCATAAGAACAAAATCCATATACCATCTGGCTATTTAACATAGTGGACATACTTCTGATTTCTGACTAATTGGACGTGGACCTACGTGCAACTACATCGTGCATCGAAAGTGAACGTCGATCTGAGACAGAAACTGGAACAGCTAAAATCTGCAAGTCAGAGGCTCTAATTCATCGAAGAGTGAGCCAAAAGGTGACTTCCGCTTTGAGCCAGCTGTGAAGGTATCATTCCTTTGCTCTCACTGCTTCTCCTGCAGTTTTTCTCACTGCTTCTTCCTCTGCACCTGTTGCCCTTTCTGGTCACATCACCCTTTCTGTTTTGCCAACCAAGTGCTTCGAAGCTGCTCGGGACCGCTTCTGTGCAGTGAAACGACTCCTGCTTACACTTTGAATCTGTTTCCAAGCGCTGCTTGTTTTGCGCCGGCGGGCCTACGACGCCGGAACAGGTCGTGCGCTGCGAACCTTGCAGGGTTGTTGAACCTGTATTTACAAGAACAAATTGCGTGTCCTCCATTCCTCCCCACACGCTCGTCCAAAGCAAGGTTTGTTTTTTAATTGCTTTTAGCGCATTTTCAATCTGTGGGTGCTGTTTCTCCTACCCTGGGCGCGGTCTCTTTTTCGGAATGCTTTTTTGTCGTGCATGTGTTTGGCATCGCGGCGGCTTTTTGCATGCGGCAGGACCTTCATTTTGGATTTTACGGCGACTTAGATAAGTCCCAACCATCCCGCCGTCGCCTAGAAAAAAATCGCTGTCTCTATATATACAATATATATATATATGTGTATATATATATATTTCTTTATATGATGGGACTTGCCACGCTGCTTCAACAGGGAAATGTGGGTGGGGGGCAAAAAAATACGAAAGTATCCCTGATGGGCAGGTGTTTGCGATTTGTGTGTGGCCACGGGCGAAAATTGGCGTGCTGCAAGTTACACTGTCTCTCACCCTATACCTATTTTTGAGCTGACGCTCATCGACGGCTCAACTGGAAAATCCCTTATAAATGGAAGTTTCTAGCTGGGAAAATCATCTATAAATTGGCCATTCTCCAAAGCTATTTTAAATAACCAGAGGGTAAAATCCATATAAATGATGAGAAATCCATATAAATGATCGAAGGAAGTTTAGAAGTCAAACTTCCGACAATATGGAGAGATGAAAAAGCAGTCAGCAGGGAGAAGAGTCAGAAGAGAAAAGATCAGAAGAAAGAAGATGCAGGTGCGCGAAAAGGTAGGAAAGTAGCGAAACACTGTGTTTTTTCGTGGTTTTGTGGCTCCGGAGGGTTGAAAAGTAGGCTCGCTAAAGCGGCGGGTGCGGAGACATCTGGGGAGATGAGAGATGAAAAGTTGCATGCCGTTGTCGCCCGAAGCCGATTTCGAAGTGAAAAGGCACAAAACACCTCAGGATCGGACCACTTTTGGAAGTTGAGATGTTGAAAAAGTGCACGGCGTTGGGGCGCGAAGCACATTTGGAAGTAAAATGTATTAAAAACTGGCGGTCTCGGAGCAGTTTTGGAAGTTGAGATGTTGAAAAAGTGCACAGCGTTGTGGCGGGAAGCACATTTGGAAGTAAAAAGTCTCAAAAACTGGGGGTCTCGGAGCACTTTTGGAAGTTTAGATTTCGAAAAAGTGCACGGCGTTGTGGCGCGAAGCACATTTGGAAGTAAAATGTGTTAAAAACTGAGGGGTTAGGAGCAGTTTTGGAAGTTGAGATGTTGAAAAAGTGCACGGCGTTGTGGCGCGAAGCACATTTGGAAGTCAAAAGTGTTAAAAACTGGCGGTCTCAGAGCAGTTTTGGAAGTTGAGATGTTGAAAAAGTGCAAGGCGTTGTGGCGCGAGACACATTTGGAAGTCAAAAGTATTAAAAACTGGCGGTCTCGAAGCACTTTTGGAAGTTGAGATTTCGAAAAAATGCAGGCCGTTCTGGCGCGAAGCACATTTCGAAGTGAAAATGTACAAAACAGCTGGGTCTTGGAGCACTTTTGGAAGTTGAGATGTCGAAAAAGTGCACGCCGTTGTGGCGCAAAGCACATTTCGAAGTCAACATGTTGAAAACACCACGAGTTCGGACCACTTTTGCAGGTTCAGATGTTGCTTGCTTCGCTTCACTACACTACACTACATTACACTACACTACACTCCACTACACTACACTACATTACACTACACTCCACTACACTACACTACATTGCACTACACTACATTACATTACACTACGCTACCTTCCACTAAACTTCACTACATTACACTACACTACACTCCACTACACTACAAATACAACTACACTCCACTACGCTCCACTACACTCCACTACACTCCACTACACTCCACAGATAGATAGACAGATGGATGGATAGATAGATCGATAGATAATTAGATGAAAGAGAGAGAGAGAGATAGATAGATCGATAGATAGATAGATACATAGAAAATAGATAGGTAGGTAGGTAGATAGTGAGAGAAAGAGCGAGAAAGAGTGGGAGACCTGAAGCACCTTTCGGTCCATCAGTGGATTCGCTCTGCCATCCCTGATTCACAACAACCAACCTCTCCTATAGGTTTCCTATTTTTGAAACTTCCGCCACCGCCTTGTGCGGTACTACTGGTAAATTTATATGATAAATCCAGCTATAATTTCCATAGCTATGATTTTGCACATGGATGAACATGGCAAGGTTGAAGGGATGAACTGGCACACCCTGGTCTCGAAAACTCCTTTGGTGGGACTTGGAATGAAAGAGGGCTCACTTCCAAACTGCTCACATCTATATAATATCATCCAAAAAAAGGGGTATATCCCCAATCCCAACGGAACAAAGGTCATTTTCCATCATTTTCCCCATGTTTTCGAAGGCCATTCAGGAGGATATACCATCCCTTGACCCGCCTAGGGGGCAGCCTGTCTCCGCCGCTTTGAAGGGATTCGGAGGATTCCTTGGCCGCGATGCTGGGCCCCCCCGAACTTTGAAGGGATACGTTTCAAATGCTTTTCCCAAAATGCACTAGCCAACGGGTGGCCGTACAGCGCTCTGCACAGCTTCACTGCAGGTTTATGGTAGCGTCCAATCCATGAAGGATGCCACATTTCGGGTAGCAAGAGCACATACGTCTCTTCGGTAGCATCCAAAAAGTGCCTGCAAGAACGCCTTAGTGGCATCCGCACGCGGAGCTCGTGTTAAACCCTGCTGAACAAGTTGGCCCAATGACTTGACAAATGGGCATTTCTTCAACATGTAAATGACTCCGTCTCCAAGCACTTCCCCTTGTGATCGGATGGTCATAGATGCTTCCTTGAGACCGCCACCAGTCGAAAACGTCAATGGCGACGAGGAAACGGTTTCGAGCTCCTCAAGCAAACGTCTTGGAATTCCTTGGGAAATCAGAGCCTCTTTGGACCAAGTGTTCACCGGCACCTGAATCCAGTGCCCACTCGACTGAAAAGACGTCCGCGACCTGTGGTGCATGTGACGCAACTGCGCCAAGCAAAGATGAGCCAACCAACGCAAGTGTTGGTTTCAAAAGCCCCATGAGCTATATAGTTAGATCATCTTATATCATGTTATATCATGTGATATATCACGTTAAATCATGTTTTATCATGTTATGTCATGTTATATCACGTTATATCATGTTATAGCATGGTGTATCATGTTATATCATGTTATGTCATGTAATATCATGTTGTATCATGTTAAAACATGTTATGTCATGTTCTGTCATGTAATAAAACATTATATCATGATATATCATGTTGTATCATGTTCTATCATGGTATATCATTTTAAATCATGCTATGTCATGTTATGTCATATATATCACATTATATCATGTTATATATATTATAATACCATGTTATATCATGTTATATCATTTTATATCATGTTATATTATAGCATGTTATATCACATCATTGCATGTTAAATAATGTTATATCTGGTGATATCATGTTGTGTCATGTTTTGTCATGTAATATCATGTTATATCATCTTATATCATGTTATATCATGTTGTATCATGTTATATGATGTTATATCATGTTATATCAAATTGTATCATGTTTTATGATGTTATATCATGTTATATGATGTTATATCATGTTATATCATGTTATATCATATCATGTGTTATCATGTTCTATCATGTTCTATCATGTTTTATCGTGATATATCATGTTATATCATGTTCCTGGATCTGCTGATTCGGGGTTCCCAGAAGATTAAAACATATTCACTATAGATTCCCCAAATGGTGGATTTTCCATTGGGAAAATGAACAAATTAACTTAAACAAAATCTGGGGAGGGCCCACCCTGTATGTACCTTGCAAATGACCTCGTAGCCAGTACTCTTCAATGCCAGGTGTCCTACGACTTTTAATTTTCAGTGGCCTGGAACAGATGTTTGGCAGGAAACGTCTTACTGTGTTTCCAGAGTCAAGCCAAATGCTCTCCATGGAACGAACAACTTGACAACTCACCCACTAAAACCTATCCAATATTTGCCCCAAATAATTCAAACAAAAAGTAAGAATGAACAAAACAATGACTATTGATTCAAACAAATTACTTACATTACTTACTTACTTACTGACTGACTGACTGACTTACTTACCTACTGAATGGTACCCATGAAAAAAACGAGATCCTGGGTCCATGGGTACCTCAACAACATCAAAGGCCTGGCAATTTCTGCCGGGAGTCGTGCAAGTGATACCCCGCGAAAAGCAGCACGACTTGTCCTTGGAACGCCATAAGTTGGAAGTGACATTTCAGGCGAATTTGGAGGCAACACACCTATGGCCTATGGCTTTGCCCAAAAACACATATATCTATGTATATATATATGCTACCACCTATACAAGGAGATTGCATTTCAGGTAACTTAGAGGCAACCAACCTATAGCTTTTCAAAAAAAATGCAAGTACGACCCACGGTTCACCAGTGGATAGCCTGCTATACTACCGAACCCCACTGACCCAACTTTTTTGGTATCATAGAACCTCCCTCTTTCAGCTTTCTGGGGCTACATGAGGTAAGACGATTTCGCCAATATGGATGGAAAACATAGTCTTACACATGAAGAATTGCCGGAGTAGATTGTAGGTTTAAAAAACACATTAAATATCTTCTTCAGGATCATTTAAATAATATGGGTTGAGATTGACCCCCAAATCCAATTCGGTTTATTGTCAAACATGTCCATGAAACATTAAACCATTTTGGAGGTCTCCCATCTTAAGAAAAAAACATAAAATTCAATAAACATGTGGGTTTGTCTGAAAATACGGTAGCGCAAAACTGTATGTTTTATCATCACGTTCCCTGTTAAACATAGCTATTTCAAGGTATTGAACATGACCATGTTTAATGGGTATAACCAAACAAATGGACATGTTCAATAGCAAACTGTTAGTTTACCAAAGGCTAATCCCCAGCTTCAGAACCTCCCCATTTTTTGAGCAACTACACACGGATGATCTGGGCTCCGCTCAGGTTTCGCGCCAAGCTTCTCCAGTGCCTCTGATGGGATCGCATCCGCCCAAGCTGATGGTGAAGTTATCGCTATTCAACTCCTGTGCGATCTGAGTGGTCCAATGGTAGCCAGTATATGTGGGATATTATGGATCTATAATATTCTATAATGATGTAACCGCCAGCTTTGTCTGGGATCAAGAAAAACATACCAGAATCATTACACACTAGTCCACGGATTGGTTGAAGGGAACATCTACAAGAATCTATGTTCTTTTTACCATGAAATATAGGGTTTTCCTGTAAACACAAACTATCCAATAGGTTACTGATGACATATGATTTATATGGAAGCATCATGTAGTTCATCAAAGACTGTATATACAGTATACATATGAAAGTACTACCAGTATGGAGCGATTTCCCTCACAGCGATGTCACTCACATTTTCAGTATGAATATGAACATGATGATGATGCTGATGATGATGATGATGATCGTCGACACAAAATCAGGCTTGCCCCCCTGGGAAGGTACTCCATTCCTAGACGAGGATCAGGCCTCTCTGGAGGGATTCAAACAGGGGTACCTGTCCGAGGGGTTCGTTTCATCCATAACAATCAACCTTCACTTGGTGCATGATAAGCAACAATTGAGCAATATCCAATACACTTTAGAGATAGGAATAGACAATAACAATAGCCAATATGTTTGGATGTACTTTTTGCTGATTGTCTCAGCAAGATGGGTATAGTGCACCCGCCGTTTCCGGCGCGGTCCTTCGCTATCCTCACTCGAGCTTCCTGCGCGGTTTCAGCAAGCTGCTCCTGGGGCGATCGAAGGCTGTAACCTGATGTGAATGGATGGATTGGTTGAAGGACAAACATCTAGAGGAAACCATGGGTTTTGACCCAATATTTCTGCGGTTTTTCCTATGGTTTTCCTCGTAAATGTTCCCACCAACCGATTCTAACGCTATGAAGCCTGTCCTCTTAGCTCTTGCTTTTTCGGCAGGGCCATCCCCAAAAAAGCGAAACGCAACCGTCGTTCAAAGCTCCACAAAGCAGGACTGTGTTAAAAACCATCTGGTTGGTGGTTTTACCCATCTTGAAAAATATGAAAGTCAATGAGAAGGATTATCCCATATATTATGGAAAATGAAGCAATGTTTCATTCCACCCCAAAAAAGTAAAAAATGTGGAAACCAATCAGAAACACATACAATGTGGGGCCCCCGTTTGATAGCTAAGTTGGTTTTTAAGTGCAATTTCACTAGGGTTAATGCTAGTTATATCTATAGTTACTATGGTTTGTAAACCAACTTGCCACTGGGGGGCACCACCTTATGTCAAAATCACCACCGCAGTACAACCGCCAGTCCTTCGCAGAGCTTTCGACCGCAACCATCTTTTCGTGGGCTGCCTCCTGGCAGTCACCAGAACTATGGAATGCCATGAGAAAGCCATGGGAAAACCATAGGAACATAGTGATTTAAACCAACAAAAATGGTGACTTCATGGGATTCGTAGCTGGTTTATGATAGGTAAGTTGGTTTTTGACATCCAATTTCACTTCGGGGGTTTATGGGGGATATAACTATAGTTGGGGTGGTAGATTTATACACAAACTTATTACATGTAACTGGGGGGCACCACTGTGTACTAATCCCCTCACCTCAGCCACCTCAGCCACCCAGCCATCGGCACCTCCGGCTTTTCCTCCGACTGCCCGAAGGGGAAGGATGGCATCCTTGCGGAGAAGTCATCTTGCAAGTCCAACATGATCATGGCCAATATGAAAGATACCCTGAAGTATTATATAATACCATATAGTTTCTAGATGTGAACTATACCTTAATATAATACCATTTATCTTAATGATGTTTTTTCTATAGCTATAACATTGCCAATCTTAAATACCCTGCAACACATGAAAAAAACAATCTTCGTTGGTGAACGTAGATAATCCCTTGGTACCAAAGGGCTAAAGGATTAGTTTCTACCCATCTAAGATTGACCTAGTGATGGCAATCTGGTTTTTGAATCTTAGTTTTTTTGGATGTATTTTTCAGAAAACACCTTGCATATGCTCCATTATATTTACCTATTAACTGGGTGAATACTTTGGGGTAAATGTTCGTAAACATGGATATGACACACTGGAACATGACATAAAATGAGCCACATTGGGATGCATAACCGGGTGATTTATGGGGTAAAAGTGTGTAAACAATCCAGCACCATGGAGCATATCGCTATGAAAACATCAGGAACACACTAGACAATTACCATCTGGTTATTTAACATAGCAAACTGGAAAATCCCCAAAATAAATGGAGGTTTCGTTCGCTGGGAAAATCATCTATTTCGATTAGGGCCATGGCTTCCACATTTGGATGATCGAAACCTTAATCATTCTAGGGAAGATCTGCGGATTGGTTGTCCCCTGTGCCACATCGCAGAAATTCAACCCAGGGACCCACAGCTTTGACCACCTTCGCAAGGAGATCCTGGCGGATCTGATGCTTGGTCCCCCGAAGGTCCGGTTGAATCATCATGCTTATACTATGTGTGTATATATATATATAATATAAAAATAAAATATTTTCTTATATATATATTATTATAAATATAAAATATATAATATATAATATATAATTTAATATAGTATAATATAATATAATATAATATAATAAATTATACTATAATATAGTATAATATAATGTAATATAATATAATATAATAAAATATAATATATACTATATTCATATCTGATATTATTTATGTTATTATATTATACTGTATCATATTTTATGTTATTTTATAAGTGGAGGTTTTAGAAAAACAAATATCCAAAACTGCTGGATTTCTCCACTGCCATATTTGATTGTTGGAGTGTACAGGATTCTGACTTACTGTACAAGGTGGTGCCCCAATTATAAATTGGTTTGTATATCTGCATACACTATATATAGATATATATCACCATAAACCCTAGTCGTCGGAGTTTTTGTTCCCCAACTTAGCATAAATCGACTCTAAATCCCATGGAACATGTGCTTTTTCTTGGTGAACTTATCCAACTTCTGCACCACATTACAAGTACCATATATGTCAGAAAATGACGACTGATCTTCCAATAACATCCCAAACAAAACCAAGATAGCAATGGAAGATCACCATTAAGTCACGACTTGTCTGGGTGAAATCCCATTGAAACATATTGAAACACCATAGCAAACTGTAAAAAAACACCATTTTCCTATGGTTTCCCTGTGGTTTTCCCATGGGTTCATTAACGTTCACCGGGGGCGCCGGAGATCCCCCAGCGGTCCTCCCTGACACTGGCAGTAGCCATAGGATGGCGCGCCAAAAGGATTCACATTCAGCGGTGCGGTGCATAGTGCGCCTGCCGGAGATGGACGTGGCGGCACCAAGGTGGAGCTCAACAGCGAAAACGACACCCATGGGAAAACGATGGGAATAAAACATACAAGATGGTGCCCCCCAGTGATGTAAGTTGGTTTATAAACCCCATTATATAACTAGTTCGTTATATCTGCCATAAACCATAGCTATGGGAGTTATAAACCAACTTGTCTAACGAACTGGGGCACCACCTTGTAGGAACATGGTGATTTTTCAGCAACAAAAATGGGGATTTCATGGGACTTATAGCTAATTTATGATAGCTAAGTTGGGGCAAATAACTTCAATTTCATGTAAGCAACTTGATGGAAATCTTTTGTCACCAAGATGGTGATTTTGTTAGAACACAGTGGGACTCCCAAACGTTATGTTTGTTGGTTTATAACTAACTCCATCTAACTATATATATATATATATAATACTATATATATATATGTATGTAGCTGTATCGATCGATAAGCCAACAGTTATTGGAGTAATAAACCAACTTTGTTACCTTGGCGGCCCCAGATTGTATCAACCAAACTAGCCAGCTACATACATTGAAGCAAATACGTTCTGCCTTGTCAACGCCTAGTATGCCTTCCTGAAATATCCCAAAGCCACCATGCAGTTTTCAAATCGGTAAACTAACATAGCTGTGGAAATTTGCCAATTTATGGATTACTATTTACTTATTGAAGAGGTTATTTTCCATAACTACTGTATATCGAAATACATCCATGTGTATTAGTTTACACCAGGGTCACCAATGAATGGATTTCGTGGTACCCTCCGTATTTGAATATTGGGGGGAAATGAACTTGAAAAATATTGTAAAATTCAATGGAGGTTTAATAAATCATGGGGTTACTGGAAAAAAAACATCCCATCCAATGAGAGTAACGGTTGAAGCAAAATACCTGGGCAAAAGACCTCACAATATCGAGACATCTAAAAAATCAATGCTATTTCTGGGGATGAGTGTAACTACATTTTATTACTAACCATACCCTCTGGTAATTTGTTACGTAGCTATTGAACATGACCATAGAAATCGTTGGTTTACCCACTAAAAAGGGTGATTGTTTCCATAGTTTTTTCATGTTTTTTCTATAATAGAATAGGTGTAATATTGAGGTTGGCCAGCGAGGCTTCCATGTAACCAGACGGTATGGTATATGGCATGAGTATTATCAAGTCATGGCATTGAGTGAAAGATTCGGCTCCGAAAACTGGTGTAAAGACTAAAGTTGCCGCTGCGTGCACAACACGAATGACTACAAGGTGGTGCCCCATAGTTAGCTAAGTTGGTTTATGGCAGATATAACGAACTAGTTAACGGGGTTTATAAACCAACTTATAACTGGGGGGCCTCACATTGTAGAAATTCAATTTTGTTTCCGAAATGTTACAATAAGGTTTGTGAGTATCCAACTGCTGCACTATGCATCAGTTCGAGGGAATTTACTGCAAATCTCAAAACAATTCATTTCTCTTAAACTATGGTTTCATGTTGAATGATTTGGGATACCATGTGATTAGCATAGAAACTACAATGAACGGCTTCGAGGGAATTACGGTTTCAGTTTTCTCTTAAACCAATTCATTGAACTCCAATGGAGGCACGTTAGTACCATATTTTCGGCCATATTTTGTGGGGGATATTCCCTGAAATTTAGGCCTTAAAGAAAGGCCTAAAATGGTGGGTATCCCATCCATGGCGATGGTCGATGGTTGATGGTCTTCGGTCGTCCGTTGACGGAGAACGTGGTTATACAGTAAACCCCCATGAGTTGGGAGATAGCCCCTATAACTATGGTATACTATGGTTACCCTCTGGTAAACTAACATAACTATGGAAAATCACAATTTTTAATGAGTAAATCCAATATAAATGGCAATTTTCAATAGCTATGTTAGTTTACCAGAGGGTATGTATCCACGAAAAAAAGCTGGAACTGCACTTCCAAGAATTTCTTGAGTGGCGAGATTATCATGCTTCTCCATCATGTTTGATTTTCAAAAACCATAGTTTCATGCAAAAAGCTCCGCAGTTGTTGTCGTCAACTCCCATGAAATTGTCAAATTCCATTCATATTCCATATATATATATATATATATATTCCATATGTTCCATATCCCATGTGCTCCATAGTGCTGGAATATTTACCAACATTTGCCCTTACCCAAAATCGCCCAGTTTTGTAGGTAAATATACCAGCACCAAGGTTCGCATATGGGTATATCCTCACTGTTCCTCACTAAAATTACTGGTTGGTGGTTTCAACCCCTCTGACAAAAAAATGAAAGTCGGTTGGGATCATTATTCCCAATTGAATGGACAAATCAAATTCATATTCCAAACCACCAACCAGAATTCTAGTCCCTTTAAACCACGATTTTCGTTGGTTTTTTAACCCAAGGACGTCGACGACGATGTCCTAATGCGCTGCCTAGAGGGCAGCCGGTCTCAGCAGCCTTGAAGGGATTGGGAGGATTCCTCAGCAGACACGCACTGCACGGGTGGTGCTGCCCGCAAACGTTACAAGTTTGTTGGTTGAATAAACATAGGAAACTACAGATATGACTACCATAAACCCTAGTTATTGTAGTTGTATTTGGCCCAACTTAGCTATCGAACGGGGGCGCCATGGGGCCCCACATTGCAGAAACCATGGTTTAGTGGATTTACACCTTTTTGGGACAATTTTGGGGGCTGTTAAATGTTGGGGGGATGGGAAAGTGGGCCCCTTTGGAGGAGCATCCCACTCAGAGTAAGTGCGGAATAAGCCTGGTTAGTAAGTTCCATTTTTTCGTGGATAATCCCTTAATAAATGGGTTATCATGCCACTTACTAACCACTTACTAAGTGGGATGATCCTCCGAGTAGTTATGACTTGGTTTATAAACCAACAAAACTAGTTCAATTTATCTCCAATAAACCCTAATTATTGTACGTAGTTATAATGAACAAACTTAGCTATCTTGGGGGCCCCACATTGTAAAACTAATTTTAACGAGAAAAGGTGTCTGTTGTAACGAGATGTAACAAGACTGGCGATTTCAATCAATACAGTCAATACATCAGATAAACGCAGACTTGGTTTTAGATGAGACATGGATCATCAGATGCAGATGCACAGTAAAAATCATATAGAACTATGTATAGACAAACATGTTACTTCTGGAAGACGCTTTTGGTATAGATCATGTTCATACATGTTAATTATAGATATTTACCTAGTGCGAACTCAATCAAATATAGCGAGGAATGATTTTCAAACAACAATGACCATCCTGATCTAAAATCTCTGCAGGATCTTTGTAGATAAATTCCAATATAGAGACACCAACGGTACGGTGTGATGCTCGCAGATGTTTGATGCATTTTGATGACAGGTTTCAATCAATGATCAGCTGCTCGCTTTCCAAATATGTCAGTTAAGTATTACGGATGTGTTTCCATAAAGTGGGGCCCCCGAGATAGATAAGTTGGTTTATACTAACAATAACAAGGCAGAACGTATTTGCTTCAATGTATGTAGCTGGCTAGTTTGGTTGATACAATCTGGGGCCTCCAAGGTAACAAAGTTTGCTTATAACTCCAATAACTGTTGGCTTTACAATCGATAAAATATATAAAATATAGTACCATCTGGTTATTGAACATAGCCATGGATATTCACATTTTTTAATAGGTAAACCACCTATAAATGGGCCATTTTCCATGGCTATGTTAAAAAACCAGAGGGTATTATATAGTTAGATGGGGTTAACAACCAACAAACATATAACTCGGTCGCAGCATGGGAGAAACCCGACGGCCGACAATGCGGGCTGTGGCAGAGCAGCTTGTGGCTGCTCCGCCGGGAGAGCCTTATGCCATGGATCGCATCATTTGTTTTTTCCGCCCGATCCAACAGTATTAGAATGTCGACAACTCTGGGAAGTTCCACTGCTGATTTTTCCAACCTAAGTGTTGGTGAACTGTATATGTAGCCTCGTGTCGTATATGAAAGGTATTGTTGCTGGATGTTGCATCTTGTAGACCACAAGCTCAACAAATGCCTCCATTTGTTGGTGATTTAGATTCTTTTTTCCCAGGGAAAAAAACGATTCCAGGTGGTGGAATCAAGGACAGAATTCTAATAAAGAAGGTGGCTTCAACCCATCTTGAAAAATATGAAAGTCATTGGGAAATAGTATCCCATATATATATAATGGAAAAATAAAATTCATGTTCCAAACCACCAACCAGTAATAAGTGGCTAATAACTGATGAACCATAGTTATGACTCACTTACAGATGGGATAACCAGGGCCACAAACACGAGACTAAGGTACGATAATCCTCCAAGTATCTTTCAATCTCTACCATCTGGTTATTTAACATAGCCATGGAAAATCACCATTTTCAATAGGTAAACCCAAGTAAACCATCTATTTCTATGGGCCATCTATACCATGGCTATGTTTAACAAATTACCAGAGGGTAATTCCACTGGTTGAAACAAGCATGATCTCTGTATCTGGGGGGGTGCAAATGGCATTGTTTCCCGGTGGTTTCACCCCGCCATAGAGGCCATCAACCCCGCAAATGGCATGGCAAAAGATCACCAAGCGCGGTGAATTCCACCCTTTCTGTTCGTTGAAAGCTCATAAACCATTACTTTGACTACCCTATTGTAATTTAATTAATATATATAGTATAGCTATACTTATACTATGGACAATCACCATTTTGAATAGCTCATTTATGTTCATGTTCCATAACTACATGTCCAATTGCCGGAGGGTCAGGGTAACGCAATGATCCTTAGCCACCCTAGTCTTGTCTTCCACCAGGAGTCGTGCAGGTGATACCCCTAGAGAAGCAGCAAGACTTGTCCTTGGCATGGGCTGGGTCTGGTGTTGGTTCTCGAGGCTGACATCAGGAAGTCCTAATACGCCCAAAATTTGAGGAAATAAAATCAGGATCCACCAAAATTGATATATCGTACCCTTCCCAAGAGGCATAGATAAATAATGATATACAATATAAATTATGATAAATCTTAAACCCATGTGATTTTGTAGCTTTTTTGGGGCTATGAAAATGAAAGAGAACTCCAAAAAATGGCCGCAAATCTTCAAGACCCCAATCATTCCAGGGTTCAAAGCTTTGGGAAGGAATGCACATTCCCGGCGCCTACGCTTACGCTGGTTGAGCCATTTGCGCAGGTCAGGAAACAGGTGCAGATGCCTTTGGAAAAGGCCCTCCAGGCTCATCCTTCCGGGGCTCCACCACCTCTCCACCTCCTTCCCACCTCCTCCGCAAGCTGACCCTCCAGCCGAGTGGAAAGTGTGTCAGTTCAAGAGCCTCTCCAGCATTTCCGGATTGTCATCATGGACATATGGGTCCTGTACCCCAGTCAGATTGCGGCACTAGCGGGACTACGGCTCGTACCCCAAAGATCCAAAGAATGCACTGAAAAGTCTCCCTTTGGGGACCTCTTCTGCCCATTCTTCGTAGTATATATTTGGTGTCGACCCAATAATTACTGTTCGAGAAATCTAGGAAACTCAAGGTTCACAAACAGGACACCAACAAATTTGGGAAGGTTTCATCGCTTACCGCACGTTTGTACAAAAATGATGCATGGTAAATTTATGTAAGTTTAGTTGCTACCGCTAACATAAAGGAATATGATGTTTGTGCTCAGGTATGTCATAACATTCAAAAGGAGTATGCCTATTTGGGAAGGTCCCATTGCTTGCCTCATGTTTGCACAATTTATGAAAAACAATGTCCATCCCATACATGGTTCCTACGGTGGTTCATTTCACAGTGGGGTGCCCTATCAATTTCAGTATCTGCTTGCATTATCTGCGTGTCTCTGGGTGTTGGAACCAGCCTAGAAATGCTCATGTCCGCAAGACCCATTGTGTCACAAAATTGCTATATGAGCGGTGGACAAAATTACTTACTACCCGCAACGGCAAGTGGGTGGTCCTCTATCGGTTGTGAAGGTTTGTACTTCCGTGCTATGTGTGAAAATAGGGTATCGGTAAGTGGGTGGTTCACAATAGGGGTTTTCGCACAAATTTGAACATCCCAAGTCCACTCCCTATACTACTTTAGTCTTCCGATAATTTTGTCAGTTGCTCACATGGTTGTGGGTCAAAATCCTGGTACCCTAGGTACCAAAAAATAGCTGGGATTTATGGATGTTCATCCCCCTAAGAATTCTATTTATAGGTCTTGATCCGTGGCCATATATGATTCACAAATAAGAAGTATAATGTGGGGCCCGCTAGTTATAAGTTGGTTTATAACCCCATCTAACTATAGTTATCATTGCCATAAACCCTAGTTATTGCAGTTATAAACCAGTTTAGCTATCGAACGGGGGCCCCACATTGTACAGTCCATGTTTGGCACGCTTGCAATCCTACAAGGAAGTTCCCTTCAAGATCCCCTCATTTCTCACCAAACGTCTTCCCTTTGCTAATCCAACAACATCGCAATGGCTTAAATTCTCTGATTAAAAGTTTATTGTCTCATAACAAAAAAAACTGAATTGAGTTTTCCATTAGACCCCATATAATATCATATAATATGCAAATATATATATACATATATATATACATATATATATATATACATACATACGCACATACACTGTATATGTCGTTGAACCGTTTTTTCAATTGCTATGTTTGATTACCGGCCATGTTTGAATCGCCGCGCCGCCAAGGTTCACCAGCGCCTCTGATAGGATCACATCCTCCCAAGCTGATGGTGAAGTTATTGCTATTCAACTCCTGCACGAGGCTCTGTAGATGTCATGCAACAAAAACAAGGGGCTTTTGTTGCTGCATTTTTGGGTATTATTTTCCCGGTGTTTTTCATAATTTTCATAGGCATGATTGGGGTTATACCATATTATACCACCATGTTCAGACACACCCAAATACAAGTTGTTGGTTTTTGATTCCATTTTTTTTACAAGTAAATTCTGGCAGTGTTCATGAGTAGGTGAAGTGCTTCATCACAGCCTCCGCCGAAGATCCCCAACATGGTCAATTTTTGTCTAGCCATGGAAATTCATGGCTTCCCTAAGAAGATGATGTGGGGCCCCCAAACATTGATACTGTATATGGTAGATTCGTAGATATATGGAGGTATCCTAAATACGGGTAACCATAGTTAGATAGTAACCATAGTTATCAATGTGAGGCCTGCAAACCTTATGTTTGTTGGTTTCTAACCCCATCTAACTAGCTCGTTGTAATTACCATAAACCCAAACGTGAAATTGCAGTTATTTGGCCCAACTTAGCTATACAACGGGGGCCCCACATTGTATCTATATGACAGTTTGTCAAAAATAATTATCAGAAGTTTTGTACAGTGGTTGATCATTCATGTGGATCTGGGTTTTCCTATTCGTTATTAGGCGGCACGCACCTGAATTCACCAATTCTGCAAGGCAGCGCTAGCAAACCCGCTAGGTTTGCGCTAGCTTTTTTAACATGTTCCTGAATACTTGTTATTTCAACATGTGTTCTCCATAGGATATGTTTCTGAAAATTGTTTCTCTTCCCAGAAACCGAGTCCAAACATGGTTCCTAGCATTGTTCCCAGCAGATCACATGGAAAAAAACATGAGATGCAAGAACTTGGCCGCCTTACCCGCTAGATCCCCCTAGCAATGAGTTGCAAAAGTTGCGGCTTTGGCTGAAAAGTGACCCAGTCACCGCCAGAGAATAAGACTGGACAGAGGATAAATACTGCTTTGGCTGAAAAGTGTCACTCTGCTTTGACTGTTTATCCAGTCTTTTTGACAAAGGCAACAATGACAGCAAAGGCAACGACAAGCTCTCCAGCAAAAGAAGGAAAAAGGGAAAAATAACTAAATTAAAAAAACAACATGTTGGAAAGTTCCTTCCAGTTCAACCACTAGCAGCGGCACACACTCCAAATAGACGTGCGCTAGCATTTCCTCCAGGTTTTAGGTACAGTACGGATTCAGAATATTTCAAAAATGAGAAATAAATACAGGGGTTCAGACTGTTTCAAAGAGTCATGGTTTTGAAGACCAAACAATGAAGCAGCACACTTGGAATTGCGATTTATCAACCAAACCAGAAGAAGACGTTTGACAAACCGTCATATATTGATTTACCAGATGGTAAAAACGTTGGATTATGAAATACCGAAAAAGGCCAACTCTTGGGCTTCTGGTAATCCAGTTGTTGAGCCATAGCCATGTAACAGCCTGGCTACATCCCAGTAAACCATCCCCAGGTGAAGTTTACCCTCTGGTCATTTAACATATTGAACATGGCCAATGTATAGTGGATTTACCCATTGAACATGGTGATTTTCCATAGTTTATCGTATGTTTACCAGAGGGTAATTTTATTGGCTGCGCAAATTGGTTGGTACAAATATTTACATTATATATGTGTAATCCCTTTGCCCCAGTATTAGATACCTTTCCAGCAGTTTCTCTAAACGTTGGTTTAGTCTTTGAACTATTCATTTTCGGTCCCAAGCATGGGCAATTTTTCATACTCCCATCCACCTAAATTCAACGGCTCCCAAAAACCATGGTTTAGTGTGTATTTTGGGACCATTTAGGGGGTGTTTAATATTGGGGTGATGAGATTATGGAGAGGGAATGGGTTGTGTCCAATTACAGGGTGGGCCCCCCGAGATATGTTCGTTGGTTCACAACCCCCATTAACTATAGTTCGATATATCCACCATAAACCCCGGTTATTGGAGTTATGTTCACCTACTGAGCTATCATGCATCACCTATACATTCAAAGAACACACCCCCCATTTTTGTTTGCCAAATAACTTTGTCGGATGGTTTCCGACATGATATATTCAGTTTGCAGTACCTGCAAGTGACCTTTCTGCGTCGATGTTTAGATTTCACCGCATTTTCCGGATGCCTTTGCCCATGATACACATGTTGCCTGGACAAATCGACCACTGCTTGGTGCTTCATCCCACTTAGCAGGTTAGAAGCCAAGTTATAGGATGACCTACTTACCAAGTACCAAGTATTAGGGTGTAAACCAACTGTACTTACCAAGTTTCCTACTTCGTATAAAATGCAAGTACAGTTTAGATGAGCCACCAAGTACCATAAAATGGTGCAGACTTTGGGTCACCTTCTGCTTCTCGAAGAGGCTGAACTTCAGCATCGCAACCCTAAGCTTGAGCCCTGCTTGCCCTATTGACCAAGCCATTTCAAGGGCGAAGCGACCTGAGCCCGTCCCGTGCCCTCAGCGGTCCTTCGCAATCCTCACTCGTGCTTCCTGCACGGTTTCGGCGCCTACTCCAGCGCGGCTGTCCTGTGGAGTCAACGATAGCTAAGTTGGGAAAACCATAGGGAAACCATAGGGAAAATGGTGGTTTCACCATGAAAACAGGTGATTTATTGGGATTTATGGCTGATATGTGATAGCTAAGTTGGGCCGATTAATTGCAATTTCACGTTTGTGTTTATCGTAGTTATGACTATAGTTAGATGGGGTTATAAACTCATTTACTGTATAACATTTTATCCCCAGATTGTAGCCTATTTTGGATACCCAGAAAGATAAAGGGTGGCCGCTCCAGTTATGTTTAACTTGCTGGTACACTTACCATCCGTGGTTACACCGATCTCGCCGGCGTTCCACATCCGTTTTTTGATCCATATCAACCCCACTGAACTAGCTCGATATCCCTGCCATACACCCAGCAGTTCACCCACTGAGCTAGAAAACTTGGGCCCCAAATATGGTCTATGTATCTATATATAGTTATATACATAGCTAGAAAATCACCAATATGTATACTACATGTGAGCCCCAATATAGTTCACCCACTTAGCTAGAAAATCCTTTGGAATCGGGGGTACCCTCTTTCAAACAAACCCTCGAAGGGCGGCCTCTAAGAGTTCCTTTCCGAGTGCCCGTTTGTCCCTCTGCAACCTTGCCAGGGCGAGAATAACGGCATGGTGTCCAGGAGCAAATTGATGATTTCTCTGCTGGTTGCTGGAACAAACCAACAAACATGGGGATATAAATCCATAGATAGTATGAGGTCTTGATATCTTATTTTTATAGGGATCTAGCAGGAACGTCACCAACACCATGGGTATGCCCCCGCAATTCTGGCTGTTTAATACAATGTGGTGCCCCATAGATAGCTAAGTTAGTTTATAAGTCCAATAACTATGGTTTATGGTATATATTTATAACTGTAGTCAATGGTGTTTATAAGCCAACTTGCATAACTGGGGGGCACCACTTTCTAGGGAAACCAATGATAAACCACTTAGGAGTACCTTTTCTTCAAACACACCCAGAATGGATGATGGTCCCTGGACGTCAGAGCTACAAGCTGTAGCCTTATACTCGTTTTACCCTTTTCTTGTTTCAATGGATTGGTTTAAGGGAAAATTTTGAGGAAAGCCCCATATTTAATGGGAAAATCTATGGTTTCCTGTAGATTTTCCCTTATATAAACCAATCCATTGATTGTTTGCTGAATTTCGAACATGTATTTGTGGCAAGGAGCATATCATCGTTTTGTTTGTTCCAGATTATGGCTGATGCCATTTCCAAGTATACGTCTTGATTCTGCTAGTTCTATCCACAAGTTGTTGTTGATGTCTGATGTCTTTGCCATATTTTGCAATTCGTCCCCATTTCTGGATGAATCCATGTTGCCGAAATGTAGGATTTGAATCCAACGAAATCACCATAAGTAGGTGGTCGAAACCATCCCCAAATGGTAGGCTCATTATCGGCTTTCCCACATTTAGACTAAACCGTGACATCTATTTTCATCTTATGTATCTTATGTTGGTATTTATTATTTCGGTATGGATCAATACCTATTAATACCATTTTTGTGGGATGAACATCCATAAAGCCCAGCTATTTTGGGGTTCACGGCACGGTACCAGGGTTTTGACCCATCCCCATTTAGCTTCCAATCAAAAAAAAAACGGCATGGATCTTGGCCAAAGCTTCGTTAAACCTGAAATCCCAATGACAGCATCATACGTAGAGCAACCCCCAAGTCATGGATGCCCAAAAAATGCGGTTAAACCTGGCAAATATATGGGAAACGAGTCGGAAACCAGGATGTTTTCTAACATGTTATATATATGAATATATATATATAAAACTATATGATATTTACATATAGCTATTGAATATGGCCCTTTATAGTGGATTTACCATAAAAAAAGGTGACTTTCCATAGTTATGTTAGTTTACCAGAGGGTATTTAATGTACTTCACATTTCCAGGATTTTCCAGGTCTCTATTCTTTTCTATTTTGGGATGCCATACAGTGAGGTCAGGCGCCGTTGTCGAAACCAAGGCGCAGGGAGTTGCTGGGAAGCTCTTGGTCTTTGCAAATGGCCTCAGTATAAGATGAACATCCCAGGAATCTTAACGGGTTTTAATCCCCTACATATTGGGATGGTAAACAAAAGTAGGGGACCTTTTAAAATATAGCTTATTATTATTGGGATATACCTGTTAAGTTTTTTATAGTATAAGTCTGTACAATCCCCTATCATCAACAGGGTTGGTAACACACTGCTAATTTATTCCCTATGGATCCAAACACTGTCTGAGAACGTACTTAACCCCCTAGTCATCATACCCCAGTGGTACTTCCTAAGAAGGTACGGCTGGATCCATAGGGATTGCTATCTCCCACTAGATATCCCCTGTATCCCCATCTTGGTCAACTCCCATACATCAACCGGCCCGAATCCTGCCGCGTCACATCTCCGGGTTGACACTCCGCATTCGCCTGGCGTGGGGAGACCTGGAAGCCTGTGGGAAGTGGGGAAAGCCACCATAGATGCGGAAAACCCCATGGTGTTGCTGGGTTTTCTACATCTATCTTGGTTTACTATAGACGGTAATTATTTACATCATATTTATACATTAGATTATATTTATGTATAGATATCCAAAAACCTATTAAAACGATACACACATTATGATACATTATGTACACATATACAGCAGCAACCATATGCTTTTAAACTATTTTAAGAACGTTTTTCTTGGATCAAACCCCGTTTGCAAAGTCACAGGCTGTAGATCTTCCCAGTACTTCAAGGTTCCACCAGCCAGGAAGAGATCGAAAGCTAGACCTCATACCATACAATGTTATAGGTCTGAACCATAAAATAATGGAATTATGGAATTATCGTAACATTATGGAATATGGTTATAAGGAATAACCATGTGTGGTATGATATGATAATTCCTAATAACCATAGTAGATAATTCCATACCACAATAGGAAGCATCGAACGCTAGACAATATTATAATGGTATGGCACAAGCATCAATAAAGGAAATGGAGATGTCTGTACCATACCTTAACATAATCTATATATTCCTTAATATCCTACATATCTGTTTTTCATACTGACCATTTCCTAATTTCAGGTCTTGTGATGTCCAACAGTACCTTGCAGACAGAACACCATGGCTGCAGGTCACCACAGGGTGGTGTCACGGGTTTTGTCACTTTCAACCACGGCTGATCGTTATATCCCCCAGAAATACACCAATCATAAAACCAAGTTTGTTGATTAAATACGAAAAAAACAGTACCCTCCAGTATAGGCCCAACATAGACCCTGCCAGATAGTGGTTGGAAGATGAGTTTCCGCTAGAAATTCATGATTTTCACAGGATGCGGCCTTGCCTCAAGATAGCTAAGTTGCCTTACACGTGGTTTAACTATGGTTTATGGTAGATTCCTGGTAGATATAACTATGCTTGATGGATCTTGATGGTGTTTATAAACCAACTTATAACTGGGGGGCCCCCCATCCTGCAGGGTCTATGTTAATTTACCAGAGGGTAAATAAATCATAGACCGCTAGTTTCACCGGAAAAACACAACCTACTTGCTGGCGTCATATCCCACGAATCCTGAGTGGCTTAAATCCCTAGTAAAAGAAGTGGGATTTCTGTGGGGTTAATCTACTTGCACCATCTTTCAACTAGGGTGAACTAACCTACTTACTAGAGGTTTCCTAAAATAAGGCTACCCCCATTTTAGTAAGATTTTCCATAGCCATCCTTTTTGGTGATCCCCACTTTGGACGAGCCAAGATAACCTCACCACGCCCAGTTAAGCTCCGAGGCGCAGTCACCACGAGGGCCAGCAATGTCAACACAGCGCTCGACATGACCTCGATGAGGTTTGCGAAAATGGCTGAACCTAACAGCAACGGTGATACTGATATATCCCATATGCTCCATGTATGGCTGGTTGGTGGTTTCAACCCCTCTGAAAAATATGAAAGTCAGTTGGGATGTATAACAATCTATGGAAAATAAAAGATGTTCCAAACCACCAACCAGTATATATCCCATATGCGAGCCATGGTGCTGGTATATTTACCTACATTTGACTGGGTGATTTTGGGCAAGGGCACATGTTGGTACATATTCCTCCATACATGGAGCATATGGGTATCAATAATAAGCACATATCTAACAGCAATATCAATACTAGATAATGTTAGGAACGCATGGATCTAACAGCAATAGTGATAGTGATACACCAAACGCCATGGTACTATCCAGTCATCGGAGGTTGGTGATCAAAAATACAACTTATTTTGAAGTCAGAGTTCGCTTGCGTTTTAGGGTCGAGGCATGACTTTTACGTTAACCGTTTCCCAAGCTAATTCTGGTGATTCCCAAAAACGAGGCACGACTTTAGTTGTCTGTATAATGGGATAGAAGGGGAAAACATGGATCAAACCCAAATACAAGCTGGTACCCCAGTGAACGGATGTGCGAGATTGGTACGAGTTTGACGCTTGGGTTTACAGCTGTTGATTACTGTAATATCTATAGTAATCGGGATTATAAACCAACCTTAAAGCTGGGGGACAACACCCTGTATAGACCAATGAGATGAGAAAATAAATCAATCACTGGAAATCTTGTGGAAATTGTCATTTCACCAGCGTACCAAGTATAGCAAAGCCCAGAATTCCTCCAAAACAAGCTGTACACTGTACATAATTCGTGTCTAATTTGTCTGATTTTTTGGGGTGGTTCGTATGGGTAACACCGGTGTTTAGCCCAAAAAGAAGAAACCGTCTGTGAGATCCAAAAGACAACGCTAGGAGCAGTTGAAAAGCTCCAGTGTGGATCATTTCACCGGTTCACCGTTCCACAGCAGTGTTGACATGCGAAAACATCAAGTGCTCATCTGGTTGGTGGTTGAAAAAAAACATCTGAAAAATGATGGAGTGAAAGTCAGTTGGGATAATTAAATTCCATGGTTCCAAAGCACCAACCAGTCATGATGGGTTTTGCGGCTTCTGAATCTCAGTTATTTGGATTCCAGCTTATGCCATCCTGGGTGTGTCCTTTTTTTCCCATGGGAGATTTTACCACCAAGTACTTGATCCCTATCCCGAGACAAGGATCAATGGATTGGTTTAAGGGAAAATCTACAGGAAACATCAGGAAACCATAGATTTTCCCATTAAATATGGGGCATTCCTGTAATTTTTCCCTTAATCCAATTCATTGAAAGGAGGAAAATGGTCAAATAAAGAAGTATACAGTTCCCCCTGGGTGGCTATAATTTGTCCTCGATGAGATATCCAGCAAAACATCCAAAACATACAGCCGGGGGTGTAATTATACCCCAATGACAAAAAAACATAAGGAATTACTTTACTTCGTGTGATCCCCACCATGACATTTATACATGTTCTTACTGGCAAATCTTCTGGCATTCTATCTGACATATCTTCTGACATTCTATTTGGCATTCTATCTGGCATATCTTCTGGCATATCTTCTGGCATTCTATCTGGCAAATCTTCTGGCATTCTATCTGGCATATCTTCTGGCACTCTATCTGACATATCTTCTGGCATCTCTATCTGGCATATCTTCTGGCATATATTCTGACATATCTTCTGGCATTCTATCTGACATATCTTCTGGCATATATTCTGACATATCTTCTGGCATATCTTCTGGCATATCTTCTGGCATATCTTCTGGCATATTTCTATCTGGCATATCTTCTGGCATCTGGCATTCTTCTGGCATTCTTCTGGCATCTTCTGGCACTTTCTTCTGCACATCTTTGTCCCATATCTTCCTACATGAGGTCCGGCAGGGAACACTTGGCGTGGATACTCGCGGTTGAGGTCCGGCAGGGAACACTGGGCGTGGATGGTCGTGGTTGAGGTCCGGCAGGGAACACTGGGCGTGGATGGTCGTGGTTGAGGTCCGGCAGGGAACACATTAGGCGTGGATGGTCGTGGTTGAGGTCCGGCAGGGAACACTGGGCGTGGATGGTCGTGGTTGAGGTCCGGCAGAGAACACTGTGGATCGCGGGTCGCAGTTGGACGAGGACGACGAGGACGACGAGGACGACGAGGACGACGAGGACGACAAGGATGACAAGGATGACAAGGAGGACGAGGAGGACGAGGAGGAGAGGAGGAGGAGGAGGACGAGGCAGGAGGAGGGAACTGACATAAAATCTAACAACCCTCACCTGGCAGGTGGGGAATAACTGAGCAGTGTTCAACATCCCTCTATCATTCCATGATACTGGTTAGTTATGGTTAGTTTAAAGGGATTCCCCTATTGGGTTATTATAATCCCCAATATATATATATATATATAGTATATAGTATAATCCCCTAAAATCACCGGCTTTCACAACCATGGCGATGGACCATGGATCCAAGTGGAACTAGCCAACATATTTCACCTGCCAAGCAACTGGAGCTTGGAATAAGAAGTCGCTTTTAAGCATAAATAAAAAAGTTTCTTTGAGCCAATATAGCTAATGGATTGGTTTGAGGGACAGAATTTACAGGAAACTTATGGTTTTCGCCCTTACATACCATCAAATATAGGGGTGTCCTGCAGATTTTTGTGACACTAATTCTAGGAAACATAGCCAAGCCATTCCACAACAACCAACATAACAACGACGAAGCCTCAAACATGCAGATGTTTCTGCCCAATAATACCCGCGGGAGTTAACTGGGATTAAAACTCAATTCAAGTTCATGTCAACTATACCCCAAACATCTACGATATATTCATGGACCTGTTGTCCAATGTTTTTGGAGTCTGACCCAACCTCCCAGACATTCTCGACGTCGATCTTCACTCCTAAAAAGACTCTCTCTGTAGGGCCTGATTATCGGTTTGTCAGAAACATAGTGTACCTCAAAAGCCCAAAATCCAATGATTGGGCATCTGGTTGGTGATTGACCTACCCCTCTGAAAAATATAAGTTCGTCAGTTGGGATGATGACATTCCCAATATATGGAAAAACATGTTCCAAAATCTTCCAAACCACCAACCAGTAATTGTCTAGAATGGTAGAGTTGAGGTGAGCGTTCTTCAACTTGGCGGGCAAAAATGGGATGGGTCATACTGAAAGCAGGACAGCGGAGGGAGTCCCCTGAGTCTTATATTTTGACCGGTACTTATATCATCCTATATCGTTACCCTCTGGTAAACTAACATAGCTGTTGAAAATTGCCATAGAAATAGTGGATTTTCCCATTAAATCCATTAAACATGGTGGATCTTTCCATAGTTATGTTAAATTACCAGAGGGTAAGGCTTGCTATCCAACACCTCAGTTGTTCAAATTGTCAAGTCCCGATTTTCCGCAATTTCATGAGTCAATCGCTCGATGCTTCTTTATTTAAGGCATGTCGACCATGTATTGTGGAGCTGATTACACGTCTTGCTTTAAGCGAACATCTCCCAATTACGTTGGGAACCTTCCCCTCAGTTGAAAGTAACGGTTCTTCATCAGCAAACTTAGAACATGTTTGAATCTTATCAACATAAGACTAAAACTTGAGATACGTATACTTATTAGAACATTTTTATTCCAAAGGAAACTTCGCGAACATGTTCTAAAAAATATCGCCCTCATGTCCTCATGTTAAGATATTTCCAACAAGAGCCCCCAAAATGATTCGAGCCTGTGCTAAAGCGTATCCCCATGGTTTTCTGCTTCGAAAGGCCCATTTTTTTCGGGGCATTGTCTGAGAATTGGATACCCCATGAGCATCCCATTCCACAGATTCATCATTTATTTTCGAAACTTTGCGAGGTAAACTTTTTTTTTTGGTGACCGAAAACTTGGAGAACCTAGGGTTTATGGTACTTATAGCCATAGTTAATGGGGTGAACATCTACCAACTTACAACTGGGGGGTGCCATCATTCACTGTGGGTCGTGAAGTCGCCAACGCCGCATGGATCACCTTTTTCCGTCACTCCTTTCGATGCCCCGGGCGCTCTGGAGCCTTGAGGCATGGCACAAGGCTTTGGGGGGCTCAGGGGTGGATTGTGTCAAGCAGACGAGCAGCTGAGCTGAACATCAGAAAGGAGGATGCAAGTCCGAAGATGTTTCCTGGAATGGTAAGAATCAAAACATCTATAAAATCCAACATTTTGGGGTTTCATATCATCAGTTCCAGCTATTTAGATTTTCACCAAAATACCGTTTAAGGTGACCCTCAAGGATTGTTGTCCTTTCAGATCAAAGGAGTTTGTTCGCCCAAGCGCGATGTTTGTTGCTTTATACGCCTTGAACAAATAGAGGTTTCCAATAGCTGGATGGTTTATTTCAGGGAAAATCCCATCGGCCCATATGCTACATGGTGCCGGTATATTTACCTACAAAACTGGGCCATAAAAATGGGATACATCTTGGTAAATATACCAGCACCATGGAGCATGTGGGTATACTTGCCGCAATTAAACCCTAGGCCTTAGTTCACCTAGTTATGTTTGCTACTTCATTTTGGTTATCCTTTGGGATCCCCGTGTTGGAGTCATATTGATTGCAGTGTTGGCTGAGGTCAATAACACTCCCATCCCACGAACCATGAATTCACAAGGGCCATAAGGGGCCCAACATAGATCCAAGGGGTGTATCTTCAAATGGGACCCCAATATTTCATAGCAATAGTTTTTCAGGAAAAATCCTGATGAATTCGACCATCTGATTTGTGACAAAGCCCATACTAAAACAAGGTTTCTACTTGGGGGTGCAGTTCCAGTTTTTTCGGGGCTTCATCCCAACTTATGGTGAGATGGTTCTACCCATCAAAAATCACCCCAAGTGCAACACCAAGTACAAGTCCCAAACGCCATTTGACAAAATTGTTCATTATATACATCCTATTAAATCACCGTTATCATTGTTAAAAATCGCTATCTTGAAGGATGTTAAGACATGTTAAGACACGTCAACTCACTGCAATTGTATATGTTAACAGAACATCTTTCAGTCCACTGTCTTAAAGAATGTTAACACAATGGTTTCATCAAAATCCGTCAAATCTAAGTCATGGAAATCGGATAGAATCCACTAAGGTGGGTCAAGCAATGCCATAAATCAGCCATTTGGGATGGTTTATGACATTGTTTTACCCACATTATATCTGGTTGGTAGTTTAAACAATCTTGAACAATTTTAGTCAATGGGAAGGATTATCCCATATAATTATTATGGAAAATAGAACATGTTTGAAACCACCAACCAGTGATTTAACCAACAAGAATGGGTTGGAGTTCCTCAAGGTCGCAAGTTACCGAGCCTTCTCAACCCACAGTTTTTTGTTTTTTGTTTTTCAAACGCACTATCATCGGTTAAACCGTTTCAATGGGAGTCATTCTGCACACGTCATGCCGTGAGGGCTTGGCCGCCGCACCGAAAGCGCAGCGAGGCCAGAAAGGGAGAAGCTTGGCCGGGATAAAGCCATTTGGTGATCATATCAGTTAATTTACTGAGGATATAATGTATATCAATATATACACATTATATATACATACTGTAGCTTTTATATGTTCTATAAATATATATATATATATACTTTTATAACCACTGTATATATATATATTATCCCATATATGAAAAATCATATATGGCACGTAAAAACATGCTCTCGCAATTGAATGTTTTTTTCTCACAAGGTGTATGATCCACAGTTGTATAAAAAAAATACGGCAGAATGGAAATGTGCCTGGTGAGAATCAACCAAAGCCGCGCAGAAGTCTGGCTTCTACGTGCCAAATCATGGCCAAATCCAATAGAAGCGAGACAAATGGGATTGTACATCATATGACATATACCCTATCAATGCCCTATCAATGCCTGAGCATTGGTATTGGCCGGTATTGGGCAAATACATAGCCGAACACCATCTAAAGCATTGGACATGCAATTACCATCGAGTGAATCGAGTGCACGTCAAGATTCCATTCTCCTCAACCTGTGTTGTCAGTCGAGTCACAACTTGCGGTGGTAGTGCAAATGCAACCCAACCAGCCAAAGTAGCCTCAGGCACCACTGGGGGATGCAGTTCCAGTTTGAAGGGTACATAGCGAAACGTATTGGGGTTATATCCCAAACTAAGGGTGTGTTATTTCCAGGCTTATACTGTAAATTACATATATGTATATAATTATGTACATACGTGTATTATATATTATACCTCATATCACTCATATCTTTCGCCCAACTGCACCCACAAGAATGCCCTTGTTATTGCGACTCATGTGGATGTGTACTGGCAGTACAAGATGGGTCATGTAAACTTTAGATTTGTCCACCACAACTGGACTAATTGGTTTAACACCATATGTTGATAGTTAGACCACACCCCCACACTGTGGATGGACTGTCCATCCTGCACCAGTTGGTAACAAATTTCATCATCTACCGACTGGTGCAATATTTCTTCCATTCACAGTATGTTGAACACTACAATCTGCATGCAGTTTACAGGGTTAACCCCATCTTCTGATGCTTTAACCCCAAAGTTATCATGTTTTGAATGTTTACTCCCTGGACCATCAATTGTGTTTGTTTCGATGTGCATTCCCATGGGAGGTCGTTTGTCACCTTTTTCTAAATATCAACAAAATTGGGTGATATTCCATGTACAACTGGGTGAATTTCCATGATGTTTAGCCAGTTGTACGTTTATCAATAATCCCGTCCAACTCTGGATATACCCATTATAAACCTACAGTTTGGCCATGTTTGCTTCAACTGAAACTTATTCGGTGACCCATTCCTCCAAATATGAAAATGACGTAATGGGGATGCACCAAATTTGATAGGTCATGTCTGACTCGGGAGATTCCATGAACTGGGTTCTTTCATATGATTAGTACAATGTGGGGCCCCTCAGTTATGTTTTGCTGGTTTATAACCCCATCTAACTATAGTATACTATAGTTATCATTACCATAAACCCTAGCTATTGTAGTTACAAACCAGTTTAGCTATCAAACGGGGGCCCCACTTTGTACCCAGTTACTAATTCCATCTAATTCCCATATGCTCCATGTAGGGAATGTAATACCAATAGGCAGCCCAAAGAATCACGAGTCATTTTTCGGAACACATCCCATACATGGAGCTTTTCTTTGGGAGTGGGACGGATGTCCCCTTTAGGAGGTACTTTATAACCCATGTTCATACAATATAATTGCTATATATTTCTATTCCATACACAACTGGGTTATTTCATATGTTGCTACCAAAATCCTGCATGGCTTCCCCCAGATCCAGGTCTGGGAAAACATCCTGACTCTCCAGGTCCAGTGGCGGTCCAGGCGCCCCAACACTGTAGGAATGCCCAGCAGTAGATTCGTCAGCAGATTTTTGGTGCCGGACACGCGCGGATGATGCAAGCCACGGCCATTCTTGTGACCCTTGGCAATCCATGGCATCAGCCAAGGGGATTTTGTCATTTTGGTATACCATCTATCATCATTTACGTATTGTTAA